ATCTTTTTATGGTTATTTTGTCTGTAACAATTGCAAAGAGATTGATAACTTTGTATTTGTAGTCAACTTCATTCTGAAGTTATTGCCTGTCACAGAGACAGATAAACATGTTGATTCTATGTTTAGCAGAGATCTTGTGAATGAAGTGACCCAGAAGGGGAAAACAAGCATCTAACGATGCACTTGGCAGTTCTACTAGTGGTGTGAGGCAGTCGGTACATAACGGGCATTTCAAGTGCAATTTTAGTAAGAATGCTTTTGGGAAACAGCTTGGAGATTTAACAATGCTTGTTTGAAGGTTCTAACATTAATATTTTAGTCATTTAGCAGACGCTCTCATCCAGAGCGACTTACAGTTAGTGAGTGCATACATTTTTCATACTGGCCCCCCATGGGAATCGAACCCACAACCCTGGCGTTGCAAGCGCCATGCTCTACCAACTGAGCTACACGGGACTAACGATGAACTTAGCCTTATAGCATCAAAAAAGGGTTCCGCTATCTTTACGAGCCTAATATGTACTACCACATACAGACATTCATACAGTTGAAGTCGGAAGATTACATACACCTTAGCCAAATACATTTAAACTCAGTTGTTCACAATTCCTGACATTTAATCCTAGTGAAAATTCCCTGTTTTAGGTCAGTTAGGATCACCACTTTATTTTAAGAATGTGAAATGTCAGAATAATAGTAGAGAAATGATTTATTTCAGCTTTTATTTTGTTCAAGTGGGTCAGAAGTTTACATACACTCAATTAGTATTTGGTAGCATTAACAAGCTTCCCACAATTAGTTGGGTGAATTTTGGGTCATTCCTCCTGACAGAGCTGGTGTAACTGAGTCAGGTTTGTAGGCCTCTTTGCTCGCACATGCTTTTTCAGTTCTGCCCACAAATATTCTATAGGATTGAGGTCAGGGCATTGTGATGGCCACTCCAATACCTTGACTTTGTTGTCCTTAAGCCATTTTGCCACAACTTTGGAAGTATGCTTGGGGTCATAGTCCATTTGCGACCAAGCTTTAACTTCCTGACTGATGTCTTGAGGTGTTGTTTCAATATATCCACATAATTTCCTTTCCTCATGATGCCATCTATCTTGTGAAGTGCACGAGTCCCTCCTGCAGCAAAGCACCTCCACAGCATGATGCTGCCACCCCCGTGCTTCACGGTTGTGATGGTGTTCATAGGCTTGTAAGCCTTCCCCTTTTTCCTCCAAACATAACGATGGTCATTATGGCCAAACAGTTCTATTTTTGTTTAATCAGACCAGAGGACATTTCTTCAAAAAATACAATCTTTGTCCCCATGTGCAGTTGCAAACCATAGTTTATACTTGCATACTATTTTTGTAAAGATGAACGTGGTACCTTCAGGTGTTTGGAAATTGCTCCCAAGAATGAACCAGACTTGTCGAGGTCTACCATTTTTTTTTCTGAGGTCTTGGCTGATTTCTTTTGATTTTCCCATGATGTCAAACAAAGAGGCACTGAGTTTGAAGGTAGGCCATGAAATACATCCACAGGTACACCTCCAATTGACTCAAAGGATGTCAATTAGCCTATCAGAAGCTTCTAAAGCCATGACATCATTTTCTGGAATTTTCCAAGCTGTTTAAAGGCACAGTCAACTTACTGTATGTAAACTTCTGACCCACTGGAATTGCGATACAGTGAATTATAAGTGAAATAATTTGTCTGTAAACAATTGTTGGAAAAATTACTTGTGTCATGCACAACGTAAATGTCCTAACCGATTTGCCAAAACTATAGTTTGTAAACAAGAAATGTGTGGAGTGGTTGAAAAACTAGTTTTAATGACTCCAACCTAAGTGTATGTAAATTTCAGACTTCAACTGTACAAACTTACATACACTACCAGTCAAAAGTTTGGACACACCTACTCATTCAAGGGTTTTTATTTATTTGTACTATTTTTTACATTGTAGAATAATAGTGAAGAAATCAAAACGATGAAATAACACATATGGAATCATGTAGTAAAGAAAAAAGTGTTAAACAAATCAAACTAGTGTCACGGTTTCGGCCGAGACTGCTCCTCCTCCAGGTTCGGGCAGGCTTCGGCGTTCGCCGTCCCCGGAGTACTAGCTGCCACCGTTGAATGTTTCGTGGTGTGATCGCTTTGGTCTGTCTTGTACACCTGTGTCTGTTTGTGTTCTGATTACGTGTCCTATAAGTTCCCTGTTTTGTATAGGTTAGATTGTGTGTTGTTGTCTGCCTGTATTTCGGAGCTGCGTGTTGACGCTCTGTTTGTTTGTTTAGTGTTTACGCATGGTTTACGTATTCACTCGCCTCTGTTTGTTTTCGAGGCCGCGTATTGTATTTTTGCACTTTTGACTAGTAAAGTCTGTTGGACGAAGCCTCTGTGTCCTGCGCCTGACTCCTCCACCACATCCACATCGGTTCATCTGACAACTAGATTTTATATTTGAGATTCTTCAAATAACCACCCTTTGCCTCGATGACGTCTTTGCACACTCTTGGCATTCTCTCAACCAGCTTCACCTGGAATGCTTTTCCAACAGTCTTGAAGGAGTTCCTACATATGCTGAGCACTTGTTGGCTACCTTTCCTTCACTCTGCCGTCCGACTCATCCCAAACCATCTCAATTGGGATGAGGTCAGGGAATTGTGGAAGCCAGGTCATCTGATGCAGCACTCATCACTCTCCTTCTTGGTAAAATAGCCCTTACACAGCCTGGAGGTGTGTTGGGTCATTGTCCTGTTAAAAAACAAATGATAGTCCCACTAAGCCCAAACCAGATGGGATGGCGTTTCGCTGCAGAATGCTGTGGTAGCCATGCCAGTTAAATCACAGACAGTGTCACCAGCAAAGCACCCCCACACCATAACACCTCCTCCCCCATACTTTACGGTGGGAACTACATATGCAGAGATCATCCGTTCTCCCACACCACGTCTCACAAAGACACAGCGGTTGGAACCAAAAATCTCAAATTTACACCGCTCTAATGTCCATTGCTCGTGTTTCCTGGCCCAAGCAGGTCTCTTCTTATTATTGTTGTCCTTCAGTAGTGGTTTCTTTGCAGCAATTCGACCATGAAGGCCTGATTCACACAGTACCCTCTGAACAGTTGATGTTGAGATGTGTCTGTTACTTGAACTCTGTGAAGCATTTATTTGGGCTGCAATTTCTGAGGCTGGTAACTCTAATGAACTTATCCTCTGCAGCAGAGGTAACTCTGGGTCTTCCATTCCTGTGTCGGTCCTCATGAGAGCCAGTTTCATCATAGCGCTTGATTAATTTTGCGACTGCACTTGAAGAAACGTTCAAAGTCCTTTCAACGTCCTTGAAATTGTCCGTATTGACTGACCTTCATGTCTTAAAGTAATGATGGACTGTCGTTTCTCTTTGCTTATTTGAGCTGTTCTTGCCATAATATGGACTTGGTCTTTTACCAAATAGGGCTATCTTCTGTATTCCTTGTCACAGCACAACTTATTGGCTCAAACGCATTTAGAAGGAAATCAATTCCACAAATTAACTTTTAAGAAGGGACAGCTTTTAATTGAAATGCATTCCAGGTGAAGCTGGTTGAGAGAACGCCAAGAGTGTACAAAGCTGTCATCAAGGCAAAGGGTGGCTATTTGAAGAATCTCAAATATAAAATATATTTTGATTTGTCTATCACTTTTTTGGTTACTATATGATTCCATATGTGTTATTTCATAGTTTTGATGTGTTCACTATTATTCTACCATGTAGAAAATAGTAAAATTAAAGAAACCCCTGGAATGAGTAGGTGTGTCCAAACTTTTGACTAGTACTGTACAGCCATACATACATACATACATACATACATACATACATACATACATACATACATACATACATACATACATGTATCATTGTGTCTCAATGTCTAATTGCTAGATAAGAAAATAAGAAAATACAATTTATTGTCTTGAAACCATCTAGGCCTATATATACACTGAGTGTACAAAACAGTCGGAACACCTTCTTTATATTGATTTGCACCCCCTTTTGCCCTCAGAACAGCCTCAATTCGTCAGGCCATGGACTACAAGGTGTTGAAAGCATTGGCCCACGTTAACTCCAACGCTTCCCACAGTTGTGTCAAGTTGGCTGGATGTCCTTTGGGTGGTGGACCATTCTTGAAACACACAGGAAACTGTTGATCATAAAAAAGCCAGCAGCTTTGCAGTTTTTGAAACACTCAAACTGGTGCGCTTGGCACGTACTACAACAGTCCGTTCAAAGGCACTTAAATCTTTTGTCTTGCCCTTTCACCCTCTGAATGACACACCTACACGATCCATGTCTCAGTTGTCTCAAGGCTTAAACATCCTTCTTTAACCTGTCTCCTCCTCTTTATCTACACTGATTGAAATGGATTTCACAGGTGACATCAATAAGGGATCATAGCTTTCACCTGGATTCACCTGGTCAGTCTATGGCATGGAAAGAGCAGGTGTTCTTAACGTTTGTATTCTCAGTGTATGGGATGATCATAAATAAATAATTTGTTCCACCTTCTTAGAAAAAGTCAATATATCAAGTTTCAGTATGTGAGGGTGTGTCAGAACACATGACTTGCATGTTTCCACAAGAATGAGGTGTGTCTGTCTGTACACAATTCCATTCTGCCTTGAGGTTGGGTTTTCATAAAGCAATGACAATGATTTACCCAAGCATTAAGGTGTTCACTCTGCAACAAGGCTAATCCTTTCTCAGTGTTAATGGAGAGGTTTGCTGAAATAGTTCATTAGTGAAGCCTTGATACAGAGTTGCCCATAGCTTTCATTCTGCTGGGAAACAGACTGGATAAGTAATTCATTTTCTACTTCTCCTTAGATTCTAAAATCTTGACATTATTGACAAAACATCTGTGCCCATAGTGCCCACAGCATTTTCCCCTGGACAATGGCGTTGCACTGTAAATCATTAACGGCACTCTTATTGACAAAGGACCTTTCACTGTTTACATAATTACATCATTCATTGCCAGTTCAGTCAAACATTTTGGTATATGTGTTGGAACTCAGCGGCTGCGTGCCCCCTCAATGGATTAGCTGTTTTACATTGAGATCATTTTTTGGACATGTAATGAATATATGGCATACTTTAACCTTTCATCAGTCAATGTGTTTTTCCTCTTTCCTCAAACTAGGTTAACCGGTTTGGCACCCTTTTTATTTACGTTCACAGGTGTGTGAAGACGGAAAACTAAACTTATTTTTCTCCTCAAGTGTTAAACTGACATAAACTTCATGTCATGATGAAGTCCACAAAGGATTCATTGGAGTTTCTGGACCTGAGTCATCTGTCCACAGATGAGGAATTGGCAATCCGACAGGTGCTTCAGCGAGTTGACGACCTCAGGAAGCGAGAGACTGGACGCATACGGTAATTAATTTATGGCCTTGGTGGCAGTAAATATCTTGATGTTGTTGGGTCGAATACATTCTGAGAATGAACATTCCCTATTTAATGGTAGTTAATGTTGTGCTTGTACAACAAATTGTACAATTTGCAATGACATCGCATGAGCTTTAGACATATGCTACATGACCAAAAGTATGTGGACACCTGCTTGTCGAACATCTCATTCCAAAATCATGGGCATTAATATGGAGTTGGTCCCCCCTTTGCGGTTATAACAACCTCCACTCTTCTGGAAGGCTTTCCACTGGAACATTGTTGCGGGGACTTACTTCCATTCAGCCGCAAGAGCATTAGTGAGATCGTACACTGATGTTGGGCGATTAGGCCTTGCTCGCAGTCGGCGTTCCAATTAATACCAAAGATGTTCAATGTGGTTGAAGTCAGGGCTCTGTACAGGCCAGTCAAGTTCTTCCACACCGATCTCGACAAACCATTTCTGTATGGACCTCGCTTTGTGCACGGGGGAATTGTCATGCTGACACAGGAAAGGGCTTTCGCTAAACTGTTGCCACAAAGTTGGAAGCACAGAATGGTCTAGAATGTCATTGTATGCTGTAGTGTTAAGATTTCCCTTCACTGGAACTAAGGGGCCTTGCCCGAACCATGAAAAACAGCGTCAGACTGCCAGATGTTGAAGCGTGATTCATCACTCCAGAGAACGTTTTTCCACTGCTCCAGAGTCCAATGGCGGCGAGCTTTACACCACTCCAGTCGACGCTTGCATTGCGCATGTGGATCTTAGGATGCTCGTCCATGGAAACCCATTTAAGGAAGCTCCCGACGAACAGTTCTTGTGTTGATGTTGCTTCCAGAGAAAGTTTGGAACTTGGTAGTGAGTGTTGCAATTGAGGACAGATGATTTTTGCGCAGCACGCGCTTCAGCACTCGGCCGTCCCGTTCTGTCAGCTTGTGTGGCCTACCACTTCGTGGCGGAGCCGTTGTTGCTCCTAGACGTTTCCACTTCACAATAACAGCACTTACAGTTGACCGGGGCAGCTCTAGCAGGGCAGAAATTTGACGAACTGACTTGTTGGAAAGGTGGCATCCTATGACGGTGCCACGTTGAAAGTCACTCAGCTCTTCAGTACGAGCCATTCTACTACCAATGTTTGTCTATGGAGATTGCATGGCTGTGTGTTCAGTTTTATACACCTGTCAGCAACGGGTGTGGCTGAAATAGCCGAATCCACTAATTTGAAGGGGTGTCCACATACTTTTTTATATACAGTGCATTGGGAAAGTATTCATACCACTTGACTTTTTCCACATTTTGTTACATTACAGCCTTATTCTAAAATGTATTACATAATTTTTTTCCCTCCTCAATCTACACACAATACCCCATGATGACAAAGAAAAAACAGTTTAGACATTTTTGCAAATGTTTTAAAAATAAAAAAAACTGAAATATCACATTTACATAAGTATTCAGACCCTTTACTCAGTACTTTGTTGAAGCACCTTTCGCAGCAATTACAGCCTCGAGTCTTCTTGTGTATGACGCTACAAGCATGGCACACCTGTATTTGGGGAGTTTCTCCCATTCTTCTCTGCAGATCCTCTCAAGATCAGTCAGGTTGGATGGAGAGCGTCGCTGCACAGCTATTTCATGGTCTCTCCGGAGATGTTAGATCGGGTTCAAGTCCAGGCTCTGGCTTGGCCACTCAAGGACATTCAGAGACTTGTCCTGAAGCCACTCCTGTGTTGTGTGCTTAGGGTCGTTATCCTGTTGGAAGGTGAACCTTCGCCCCAGTCTGAGGTCCTGAGCGCTCTGGAGCAGGTTTTCAGCAAGGATCTCTCTGTACTTTGCTCCGTTCATCTTTCCCTCGATCCTGACTTGTCTCCCCATCCCTGCCAATGAAAAACATCCCCACAGCATGATGCTGCCACCACCATGCTTCACCGTAGGGATAGTGGCAGGTTTCCTCCAGACGTGGCGCTTGGCATTCAGGCCAAAGGGTTCAATCTTGGTTTCATCAAACCAGAGAATCTTGTTCCTTTAGGTGCCTTTTGGCAAACTCCAAGCGGGCTGTCATGTGGCTTCCGTCTGGCCACTCTACAATAAAGGCCTGATTTAGTGGAGTGTTGCAGAGATGGTTGTCCTTCTGGAAGGTTCTCGCATCTCCAAAGAGTAACTCTGACAGAGTGACCATCAGGTTCTTGTTCACCTCCCTGACCAAGACCCTTCTCCACCAAATGCTCAGTTTGGCCGGGTGGCCAGCTCTAGGAAGAGTCTTGATGGTTCCAAACTTCATCCAGTTAAGAATGATGGAGGCCACTGTGTTCTTGGGGACCTTCAATGCTGCAGATATTTTTTGGTACCCTTCGCAAAATCTGTGCCTCGACACAATGCTGTCTCGGAGCTCTAAGGACAATTCCTTCGACCTCATGGCTTGGTTTTTGTGCTGACATGCACTGTCAACTGTGGGACCTTATACAGACAGGTGTTTGCCTTTCCAAATCATGTTCAAACAATTGAATTTACCACAGGTGGACAGCAATCAAGTTGTAGAAACATCTCAAGGATGATCAATGGAAACAGGATGCACCTGAGCTCAATTTCGAGTCTCATAGCAAAGGGTCTGAATACTTATGTAAATAAAGTATTTCTGTTTATTTATTTTGTTTAATTTGCAAAGATTTCTAAAAAGCTGTTTTTGCTTTGTCATTATGGGGTATTGATGAGTTTTTTTTAAAATATATATATATAAATAAGGCTGTAACGTAACAAAATGTGTAAAAAGTCAAGGTGTCTGAATACTTTCCGAATGCACTTTATAGTGTATCTCAATGCAGTTAAATACATTTGTGGAATTATACGCAACATATAAAGTGTTGGTCCCATGTTTCATGTGCTGAAATTAAAAGTCCCAGAAATGTTCCATACTCACACATTTGTTTACCTCCCTGTTACTGAGCATTTATCCTTTGCCAATATAATATATCCACCTGACAGGTGTGGCATATCAAGAAGCTGATTAAACAGCATGATCATTACACAGCATGATCATTGTGCTGAGGACAAGAAAAGGCGAGTTTTGTCACACAACACAATGCCACAGATGTCTCAAGTTTTGAGGGAGTGTGCAATTGGCATGCTGACTGCAGGAATGTCCACCAGAGTTGTTGCCAGAGCCTTTAATGTTAATTTATCTACCATAAGCCGCCTCCAACGTCATTTTAGAGAATTTGGCAGTACGTCCAACCGGCCTCACAACCGCAGACCATGTGTAACCCGCCAGCCCAGGACCTCCACATCCGGCTTCCTCACCTGCGAAATCATCTGAGACCAGCCACCCAGACAGCTGATGAAACCGAGGAGTATTTCTGTCTGTACTGAAGCCCTTTCGTGGGGAAAAACTCATTCTGATTGGCTGGGCCTGGCTCCCAACTGGGTGGGCCTATTCCCTCCCAGGCCCACCCATGGCTGCGCCCTGACCAGTCATGTGAAATCCATAGATTAGGACCTAATTTCTTTCTTTCAATTGACTGATTTCCTTATATGAACTGTAACTCAGTAAAATGGTTAATTGTTGCATGTTGTGTTTTATATTTTTGTTCAGTATAGATTACTTGAAATTAGTTCTCTTCATCTGTTATATTTAGCCCTTCAGACCAAATTTAAGAAGTGGTTTGAACATATAAAACATCTACAGAAGATTTACAATGCAGTATATTCATGTTAGGAGAGACCAACATTTTAGTTGGAATAGTTTACTAAAATAATCAGGCTTTTCATTTACCACTTTTCCATCTGCATTATTCTCTATTGGTGCCAGTCGTCTGCAAATCTCCATTCCTGACCCTAAAAAGCTCAAAGTCATGACCGGGGAGTGGTTCGAAGAGCTCCGGACTCGTCGCTATGGACGACAGTCGGATGTGACAGAAGTTCTCAGGTCTTCAATGAGGAGGAAGAAGACAACAGGTATAGATTTTGTACTGATTACCATTAATCAGTTAAATGATTACTCTCAATCAATTAAAGATTAATGAAAATGTTCTATATTCTGACTTCATCCCCATTGTCAGTCATCTTCCACAAGGATAAATACTGTAGTTACATTATTCATACAGACGGATGGGCTGACCGAAGATAAATATTCTGAGTGATCATTGTCTGCTTCTTAGCCTTTAGGACTAGTCCTTTCAGCGATGTCGGACAAAGAGAAAACAAAGGAGGAGAAAAGGAGAATAAGGATCCTCAAACCAAGACGTCTGAGTTGTAAGATTATTCTAAGAGTAGCCTTCAATAGATTTCTCACACATGGAATACAAACACACTTTGCAGAGGCTTAAGCATTGAACAGTGAATTGCTATCTCCTAATAGAAGAGAAAAGTGTAATGAGAGCAAACTCTTTTCCTTGCGATAAAAGCTTCCGAAGACTTCTGTGTTGGTATTACATAATTATGCTTCATGGCCTGGTTTTTCTATGCCAGAGAATAACTTTTACTGTTGCAAGGTGTTTTCACATCAAATCAAATCCAATTGTATTTGTCACGTGCCGAAAGCAACAGGTGTAGACCTTACCGTGAAATGCTTACTTACAAGCCCTTAACCAACAATGAAGTTCAAGAAATAGAGTTAAGAAAATATTTTCTAAATAAACTAAAGTAAAAAATAAAATAAAAAGTAACACAATAAAATAACAATAACGAGGCTATATACAGGGGGTACCGGTACCGAGTCAATGTGCGGGGGTACAGGTTAGTCGAGGTAATTTGTACATGTAGGTAGGGGTAAAGTGACTATGCATAGATAATAAACAGCGAGTAGCTGTCCGGATGGCCATTAGATTTTTTAAAACTCTAAATTATTAGTTTTAGCATAGAAAGCAAGGAATTACTGTATCGGTGCACGGAACTCTATTACTGTATTGATGCATGCAACTCACTAATTCGAACACTTGACTTATCAACAATTGCATGAAGCTTTTGATGCTATTGAAGAAATACCTATTTTTCATTCATGCATTTTAATTTAGAAAAAGATACACTTTTTTTTAAAGAGTTCTGCATCTTTCATTCTTGCACTGACATATGAAGTACTGTATATGCACATTAAGTACTTATTTTCTTATTGTTTGAGTACAAATCCTTTCAATCTCTCTTTTCCATTCATAGCCAGACACCGGACACAAGTTTCCTAAACCCAGCTTTTCGTGAAAAGGTTTGTTTTATTGCATTATTATTTGAGGCAAAACTTTCTTTCACTTTAACCAAAGAGTTGATACATAATACCGCAATTGTGATCCTCAGGCTAACCAGGAACTTAACAATGAGGAAAGCACTGTGGATATTGGTGAGTATGAAACATTTAGCAGCTGTGGAAGGATCCACCTAACCCTATCCTGACAGGCCAAGCGTAAACTAAACCTGAACTGATCCTTTATTACAGACAACACCGTTGTTGATGTTCCTGAATGGAAACATCCACTCTACAGATCTCATGAGGGGCCTGCTAGTGAGGAAAAATGTACCAACCCATTTACATCTCCAAACCAAGAGATGCCATACTTTAGCACAACTGACACTGTCCACCAATCACCAGACAGGAAACCTGGACCAGAAAAGAAGACAGAATCTGCTCATATTGCCAATACCCTTCTTGAGTCTCAGCTCGGTCCTACCAACGAATTTAGTCCCGACCCTCAAACCAAACCAACAACCAAATCCCTGGACACTATTGCGGATCAGAAGTCTAGCAGAAAGCTGGTGTTTCCCCCTGAAATATACGATGAACCAGAGAAGAACAGCTCTGTTATGTATGTAGACCCCTATGTATGGACACAACCAGAGTTGAAAAGTAGCCTCATAGAGGCCGAGCCAAAAGACGTAGAGATGGCCATAGGAACGACTAAAACAATAGTGATATTGCCTAGTGTTGACACACATAATAGGTCAGAGGATAGCACCAGTGGTTTTGATGTTGAACATTCAGGGCATGAGTCTCTCACTACTCCATCTTTTGAGATCTGGGCACAGAGCAGCCGCATAAGGCCAAAGCCAAAAGAGGTTAACTTTACCTCTGGAAAGACAAATACCACAGAGACTCCACCTAGTGGTGACAGTCTGACCCGATCAGAAGATAACTTCAACAACAGGAGACCTGATGATGAAGTTTCAGAACATGAGGAGCCTCCTAGCATGCCATCTTCAGAGGTCAAGTATCAGAAGGTGCAATTTCAGCTTGAATATGAAGATATGTTGGGGCTGGAATCTGTTAGGCTAAACCAAGATGTTTCAACAGAGAGCCAAGAACTTCTAACAGACCAAAACCACAGTGAACCGCTATCATTTGAGGACACAAACTCTCTTCAGAGAAATTACCCTTTGCCTACCATTGAGGCATTCAAATGTATAGAGAAACCTCAGTACTTGCTCCAAGAGGGACCTCAGGATATACTCACCATAGACAAACATGTTCCTTTGGATGAATCATCTGTCATAAAAGAGGCCAGACCCAAGAAGGACCTAGTTTCTTCAGAAGAATATCCTCCATTTGCTGTTCATTTTCTAGATGAAGTCATCATTTCTAGCAATCTCCATACATCAAAGGAGGACACTGGTGAGGACAAAGTGAAGTTTAGAAATGATTATCTCTCAGAGACTGAAATGGTTGGGGGCATGAAACATGTAACAAAGATGGACCATAGGGTTTCTCCAAGAGATTTTGATGAAGAAAAGAAACAAGAACAGATTAATTTCCCAGAACAGATGGATGTAAAGAAGTCTACTGAATCACTAAGTAAAGCAGCAGATGGAGATGAGGTAGAGATATTTAAGGAAAGGGATACTTTAGAGTCCAAGCTGTCTCCAAATAGAGACTTTCAAAAAGTGAATCAGAAGACTGGAAAATCTCTAATTCCCACAATAGTGGTCAATTCCTCTGAATCCCCAGTGACAGATGACACTGAAGGTAAGGGGTCTCGCTATTTTGCAGTTTAAACTTTAACATGGAGCTCTCTATTATTTTTCAGTTTCACATGCCACAACATCTTGCAATGCCATTGTTAGCTGAACTAACAAGACTAAATTAAATCCTGATCTCGTGATTTCAAATCCTTTGCCTTCACAAATGTTTGTGCTTGCTATTGAAAGTAAACTCTAAGTGACTAAAATGTTAGAGAGGAGGTTCAGAATGAAAGTACTTTACAGTGTTTTCCTCGTATGCAACACAGCTTCAAGCTATGACATTTGAGGAGTATCATTACACACCTTTGTAGCCCTTCGGTAAGTATTCAGACCCCTTCCTTTTCCCCACATTTTGTTACGTTACAGCCTTATTCTAAAATTGACTAAATAAAACAATTTCCTCATCAATCTACACACAATACCCCATAATGACAAAGCGAAAACAGGTTTTGGAAATGTTTGCAAATGTATTAAAAATAAAAACAGAAATACCTTATTTACATAAGTATTCAGACCCATTGCTTTGAGACTTGAAATTGAGGTCATGTGCATCCCGTTTCCATTGATCATCCTTGAGATGTTTCTACAACTTGATTGGAGTTCACCTGTGGTAAATTCAATTGATTGGACATTATTTGGAAAGGCACACACCTGTCTGTATAAGGTCCCACAGTTGACAGTGCATGTCAGAGCAAAAACCAAGCCATGAGGTCGAAGGAATTGTCCGTAGAGCTCCGAGACAGGATTGTTTCGAGGCACAGATCTTGGGAAGGGTACCAAAAAATTTCTGCAGCATTGAAGGTCCCCCAGAACACAGTGGCCTCCATCATTCTTAACTGGAAGAAGTTTGGAACCACCAAGACTATTCCTAGAGCTGGCCGCCCGGCCAAACTGAGCAATCGGGGGAGAAGGGCCTTGGACAGGGAGGTCACCAAGAACACGATGGTCACTCTGACAGATCTCCAGAGTTCCTCTTTGGAGATGGGAGAACCTTCCAGAAGGACAACCATCTCTCTAGCACTCCACCAATCAGGCCTTTATGGTAGAGTGGCCAGACGGAATCCACTCCTCAGTAAAAGGCACATGAGAGCCCTCTTGGAGTTTGCCAAGAGGAACAGGCGTCACGTCTGGAGCGTCCCGTCTGGAGGAAACCTGGCACAACATCCCTACGTTGAAGCATGGTGGTGGCAGCATCATGCTGTGGGGATGTTTTTCAGCGGCAGAGACTGGGAGACTTATCAGGATCGAGGGAAAGATGAACGGAGCAAAGTACAGAGAGATCCTTGATGAAAACCTGCTCCAGAGCGCTCAGGACCTCAGACTGGGGCGAAGGTTCACCTTCCAGCAGGACAATGACCCTAAACACACAGCCAAGACAATACAGGAGTGGCTTGGTGACAAGTCTCTGAATGTCCTTGAGTGGCCCAGCCAGAGCCTGACTTGAACCCGATCAAACATCTCTCGAGAGACCTGAAAATAGCTGTGCAGTGATGCTCCCCATCCAACCTCACAGAGCTTGAGAGGATCTGCAGAGAAGAATCTGAGAAACTCCCCAAATACAGGTGTGCCAATCTTGTAGCGTCATACCCAAGAAGACTCGAGGCTGTAATCACTGCCAAAGGTGCTTCAACAAAGTACTGAGTAAATGGTCTGAATGCTTATGTAAATGTGATATTTCAGTTTTTTATTTGTAATAAATGTGCAAACATTTCTATAACTCTTTTGCTTTGTCATTATGGGGTATTTAATCAATGTTAGAATAAGGCTGTAACGTAACAAAATGTGGAAAAGGTCATGTGGTCTGAATATTTTCGAATGCGCTGTATCTGACACTTAGCATGTTTTCAATCAAGGAAGTTCACATGGCAATTTTGGAAGCATGGATATCACACCAAATGACAAAAGGTTGTTTTTGTCTTATGTGGGTTTTTTTCACTCTGGTTTAGAACAATCATCTGTGTCTCAGGAACCCCCTTCAGTGGTTGTTTCACCTGTGGACACCTGGGAGGTTAGATGTTAAAATACATTTCCAACAAAACAGATTAATAAATGCATTCTTAAACGGTTTATGCACATATTCTGAATAATGGCTTTCACTTGTGGGAGTTTAGTAGTCTTGATATAAACAACCAGAAAGATGGATGTTTTCACTCTTTAAAAGATGTACACGCACACACACTAACTGATGCCTTTCATTCATGGGAGGTAAGTTGTCTAAATACATAGAATGTTGCACTCTTGAAAGAATATGAACACATATATGCCCACACTGGCTGATGGCTTTCATATGTCTTCCTTGGCTTCTACTCTAACTCTAACCCTCTTCAGGATGAGGGTCTGGACTCAGACGATGACCACAGCTCTGTCTCCAGCTATGGGTCTGACTTCTCTGCTAGAAGAGGTTATGACTCCAATGCTTTGGACCTCACTGGGGTAGGACCGTTTTATGGACAGTTACCATAAAGCTACCATTTACAACAACATACTGTAGTTGCTTTGGAAGATATGGCTTGAATAGCAAGATATTTGCTGTCCCGGGAAATATATATATTTGTATTAATCTTTCTTTTTCCTTTCTCTGAACATCAAAGGTGTTATTTGTGCAAAAATACAATCATACTGTATGACATTTCAAATACTTGACACAGCTCTTGAGTTTGCAGTTCATAATTGCATCACATTTTAAATTAATGCAATGATTACTTAAAACCCATAAAAATGATTTATTTAGGCCGCCTTTTCCCCAAAAAGTTGTGAAATACTGATAGTGAGGCATAATATGGTTGTGTTTGGTAATCCTTCCATTTCCAAAATGACGCCTACAGAGTTTGCTTTGTCTCTAAATGAGTACCTTTGAAAATATCCCTCTCCTGTCCTCTTTTGTCAGCGCACTGGCAGTCTTCTGAGTGTGTACAGTGAGGCGGGGGACTTTGGGAGTGTGACTGTCCAGGGGGCAGTGGAGTTCTCGCTGAGGTACAGAAATGCAGAGGAGCTGATTGTCACAGTGGAGCAGTGTCAGGACCTGGCCTACGCCAACCCTCGCAAGCAGCGCACTAACCCGTAAGCTCAACACACCACGCACGCGTGCAAACACACACACACACACCAATTCAGACCAATATTATAGTAGTTAAATCAGGTGTTAAAGATGCACTATGCAGAAATCGCTCCGCCATTTCCTAGTTGATAAAATTCTAATTGTTCGCCTAATTTCAGTTTATGTGACAAAACAAGCAAGTATAGTGTATAATTATTGTACCATCTAATCCGCTGTGAAATATATTTTCCATAACCCAATATATTGTATTTTCAGCTGTTTGAAGCTGGTGTACAAAACCTCAAGTAAAAGACACAAAAACGAGAAATGGTGCACATGGAACAAATCTACCGCTTCTTAGACTTGCTTTCAATGAGAATTACAGATCTATAACTCACATTTTTACGTGAATTTGGATGGGTCGCCTAAAAATATTTAATTGGGCTTTCCAGAACCTACACCAGGTTTTTTAAATTATTTTTTTAATGAGCCCAATAATAAGTATTTAGTAGAGTATTGGATCAGCTTATTTTAAATATTAAGGTGTTAGAATGGGTAAGGTCCTTTAAGCTATGGTCATTACCGTGTAGAATACCAGATGACTTGTCTCCCATGGCATCAATACTATAAGTAGTTCACTATTTTACAACTTGATGTTAGATGGTTCCTCACCCTGAAAGTAGTCTATGGGCCAGGATAAACTGTAATCCATGGTTTTTTTAAACAGCCGCTACAAACTTCAGCTAACTTTAGCCACTACAACCTAACAATCAATGGAAGTGATGTGGGCATGTGAGCCTGTTATTATTTTTTTTAAATAGCCAAATCACCTTTAAGTAACATCAAACCAAATATGGAGTTGATTTTGAATTGATTTCAGGTGATTTTGACGTTATTTTTTAAAAACATGCTCACATGCCCCCATCACATCCATTGATTGTTAGCTTGTTGTGGCTGAAGTTTGTAGTGGCTGTTTTAAAGAAAACTGAACTGTGGAGTACAGTTTATTTTAGCCGATAGACTAATTTCAGGGTGAGGAACCATCTAACATGAAAATGTAAAATAGTGAACTACTCCTTTAACAGCATAACTCCTATCTCCTGTGCAGATATGTGAAGACCTACCTCCACCCTGACAAATCCCGCCATAGCAAGAAGAAGACATCCATCAAGAAACACACCATTAACCCAGTGTTTGGTGGAGAGACACTGAAAGTAGGTTTTACCATGTTGTGAGACTGATATCCACATTTGTGATGCCACACTTTTACTTTGCTACCTCGTCACAAGTTAGAAGGATATTTTTGTTTTAAATGTCTGATGTCATTGGAAAGCAAACACTCAGGATTTTTCGGTAAGACCAGACTGAACAGATACAAATGCTGATGTAACATTTTAGATACTGTTGACAGGAGTTGAAGCCAGAAAAAATCCCATGACTGAAATTTACGTTGATCTCAGACTGATTGACTTGGGCCTAGTTAACCTCCCATTTAATGAAAAATAGCCATGACCATTATGTTTTTAGGGGAAGAACATATTATATTGCAAGTTTGACCATTTCAAGTCCCCTTTTCTATTTTAAATGTAAAATAATTAATCTATCATGCTTTTACAGTAACAGTGCTTTCTGTATATTTTATTAATGACTCTTGCATGAACATGTACTTGGCAAAGGTATGCATCTCTTGGCCTATGCTTAAGTCTTTGTTTATTTTCCATTCAAATACAATTACTTTATTTACAACCAAATCTGAGTTTCCCACCCAAAGTGTGCAACTGGCACAATGGTGTGGGCTTGGGAGACTGGAATACGCTTGCTCATTTGGTGCAGAACCAGATGTTATGCGTGTGTACAGTGATATGGCCCTCCTGTAGCTCAGTTGGTAGAGCATGGCACTTGCAACACCAGGGTTGTGGGTTCGATTCCCACGGGTGGCCAGTATGAAAAATGTATGCGCTCACTAACTGTAAGTCGCTCTGGATAAGAGTGTCTGCTAAATGACTAAAATGTAAAAAGAATATGAGAATATCCCCCATAGTTAGGGTCCTGCATTTCTTTTCTACCCCACATTTCGATCATACCACCTCAAGGGGCCAATATAGCACCTTCTCACGTTATGTGTGAATTAATTGTCACGCGTGCATACCATAATCATCTGGTATTATCAAATTAGTCCAAAATAAGTTCCATTATTAAGTTAATTCACTTCAAATTAAATGTCTGCTGACACTCACAGCTCGGTTGTCATCAGCAGCCTATGCTTTAATACACCAACATATAAGGCTCAGGACATTATCAACATAAATATTTAATTACTTATTCATTGTGTGTTTTAGAAAACAATAATTGCTAGGGAAGAATAACTTTTTTTTGTTTCGTTTGACTCTACTTGTTCAAGTCCGACTTCTTTCTAAATGAGTTGGGTAGCACATCTAGCCAGGTTTTTAATCACTAAAATACTGTTTAACTAAATGTTTCACCATGACCCTTCATCTAGTCCTCTAAGTAGGGGTAATAACATTGTAAAACAACAAAACAAAAAAACACTACTCTATACTTGACCTTTGTGCTAGAGTCAAATGGTATTCTGTGAAGGAAAGGTCTAACCATGAATCTCACAATGATATAAGTATGTTTTCCCTGTGATGTTCAGAGGCAGAGTGACAGTGATCTGAAGTTTGGCTAACAATGAGATATAAAAGTAATTTAATGCAATCATTTGATTGATTTTATAACTTTGGTACATGTATCAAACATTTGGCTCTAAAATGTAACAGTTGGATCTATCAACTCAGCAAAAATAATAATAGGACATCCTCAGCTAATGGAAATACATTTTGATGTACTTACTGTACTTACTGTACAGGGACAAATTGACACAGAATATCATCAGTGTATAGCCTTTAGGAATGTAAGGGTAGGACTCAGCAACTTTTATACCCGTTGAGATGCTGTGTGCGAGCAGCGTCTTCGAGCATCACTTTGTCCCGTGCATTAATAAATACGTGACAATAGACTAAACTTAATCCATTAATTTGTCTTCTATTATTTCACAGGCAAATTAACACAAAATATAGCATACAGTGCTTGGTGGTTGAAAAAGTAGCCAAAACAGTTGCTTAAATCATTCATTCAAAACATATTTTATTTTGCATCGTGTGTGTATTGGTCCAGTTCTGCATTACATTGTTTGATGAAACCATCCCACTGGGCACATATTGGTTGAATCAACAATGTTTCCATGCCATTTCAATTAAATTACGTTTAACCAACAAGGAATAGATGTTGAATTGACGTCTGTGCCCAGTGGGAGGCCAGGGATAGAAGATAACGGCAGGGTGCTTTTGGGGTGTTCACATGCTATCGGTTATCAGAAGTTTGGAGTTCCGACTGAGAAGTTTCACTTGAACCACCCCCCAAATCATAATTAGAAGTGGGAAACTCAGAGAAAATGTTGTTACCTGAATTTCCGAGTTGTGACGTTTTACCTTTTCAACCAAAAGATGATGACAAATCCAATGTAAGCTACAGTGAGGGAAAAAAAGTATTTGATCCCCTGCTGATTTTGTACGTTTTCCCACCGAAAAAGAAATGATCAGTCTATAATTGTAATGGTAGGTTTATTTGAACTGTGAGAGACAGAATAACAACAACAAAATACAGAAAAACGCATGTCAAAAATATTATAAATTGATTTGTATTTTAATGAGGGAAATAAGTATTTTACCCCCTCTCAATCAGAAAGATTTCTGGCTCCCAGGTGTCTTTTATACAGGGAATGAGCTGTGATTACCTGTATAAAAGACACCTGTCCACAGAAGCAATCAATCAATCAAATTCCAAACTCTCCACCATGGCCAAGACCAAAGAGTTCTCCAAGGATGTCAGGGACAAGATTGTAGACCTACACAAGCCTGGAATGGGCTACAAGACCATCGCCAAACAGCTTGGTGAGAAGGTGACAACAGTTGGTGCGATTATTCGCAAATGGAAGAAATACAAAATAACTGTCAATCTCCCTCGGCCTGGGGCTCCATGCAAGATCTCACCTCGTGGAGTTGCATTGATCATGAGAACGGTGAGGAATCAGCCCAGAACTACACAGGAGGATCTTGTCAATGATCTCAAGGCAGCTGGGACCATAGTCACCAAGAAAACAATTGGTAACACACTATGCTGTGAAGGACTGAAATCCTGCTGCGCCCGTAAGGTCCCCCTGCTCAAGAAAGCACATATACAGAACCGTCTGAAGTTTGCCAATGAACATCTGAATGATTCAGAGGAGACCTGGGTGAAAGTGTTGTGGTCAGATGAGACCAAAATTGAGCTCTTTGGCATCAACTCAACTCGCCGTGTTTGGAGGAGGAGGAATGCTGCCTATGACCCCAAGAACACCATCCCCACCGTCAAACATGGAGGTGGAAACATTATGCTTTGGGGGTGTTTTTCTGCTAAGGGGACAGGACAACTTCACCGCATCAAAGGGACGATGGACGGGGCCATGTACCATCAAATCTTGGGTGAGAACCTCCTTCCCTCAGCCAGGGCATTGAAATTGGGTCGTGGATGGGTATTCCAGCATGACAATGACCTAAAACACACGGCCAAGGCAACAAAGGAGTGGCTCAAGAAGAAGCACATTAAGGTCCTGGAGTGGCCTAGCCAGTCTCCAGACCTTAATCCCATAGAAATCTGTGGAGGGAGCTGAAGGTTCGAGTTGCCAAATGTCAGCCTCGAAACCTTAATGACTTGGAGAAGATCTTTAAAGAGTAGTGGAACAAAATCCCTCCTGAGATGTGTGCAAACCTGGTGGCCAACTACAAGAAACGTCTGACCTCTGTGATTGCCAACAAGGGTTTTGCCACCAAGTACTAAGTCATGTTTTGCAGAGGGGTCAAATACTTATTTCCCTCATTCAAATGCAAATCAATTCATAAAATTTTTGACATGCTTTATTTCTGAATTTTGTTGTTGTTATTCTGTCTCTCACTGTTCAAATAAACCTACCATTAAAATTATAGACTGATCATGTCTTTGTCAGTGGGCAAACGTACAAAATCAGCATGGGATCAAATACTTTTTTCCCTCACTGTATATCTACAACACAAAATGTAAAGTACCACCATATAACAACATTACAATGTACATTTGTGAGCATATGCATGTGTCTGTACCGTATGCATGTGTGTGTGTGTGTGTGTGTGTGTGTCTCTTCACAGTCCCTGCTGTTCCATGAGGTAGATTTTGATCTGTTTTTTAAAATCTGGTTCTACTGCTTGCATCAGTTACCTGATGTGGAATAGAGTTGTGGTCCTCTGTAGCTCAATTGGTAGAGCATGGCGCTTGTAACGCCAGGGTAGTGGGTTCGATCCCCAGGACCACCCATACGTAAAAATGTATGCACACATGACTGTAAGTCGCTTTGGATAAAAGCGTCTGCTAAATGGCATATTATTATTATTATTATTATTATTATTATTATTATTATTTATAGAGTTCCATGTAGTCATGGCTCTATGTAGTACTGTGCGCCTCCCATAGTCTGTTCTGGACTTGGGGATTATGAAGAGACCTCTGGTGGCATGTCTTGTGGGATATGCATGGGTGTCCGAGCTGTGTGCTAGTGACAGCTCAGTGCATTCAGCTTGTCAACACCTCTTACAAAAACAAGTAGTGGTGAAGTCAATCTCTCTTCCACTTTGAGCCATGAGATATTGACATAAAGATCATTCATGTTAGCTCCCCATGTGCATTTAAGGGCCAGCCGTGCTGCCCTGTTCTGAGCCAATTGTTATTTTCCTAAGTGCCTCTTTGTGGCACCTGAACACATGACTGAACAGTAGTCCAGGTGACAAAACCAATGCCTGTAGGACCTGCCTTGTTGATAGTGTTGTTAAGAAGGCAGAGCAGCCCTTTATTATGGACATACTTCCCCCCATCTAGGTACTGTTGTAATATGTTTTGACCATGACAGTTTACAATCCAGGGTTACTCCAAGCCATTTAGTCACCTCAACTTGCTCAATTTCCACACAATGTACCACAAGATTCAGGGTTTAGTGAATGATTTGTCCCAAATTAGCTTTTTAAATAGTTAAGACTAACTTATTCCTTGCCACCCATTCTGAAATGAACTGCAGCTCTTTGTTAAATGTTGCAGTAATTTCAGTGGCTGTAGTAGCTGACGTGTATAGTGTTGAGTCATCCGTTTACATAGACACACTGGCTTTACACAAAGGCATGTTGTTAATAAAGATTGAAAAAAGTAAGGGGCCTAGACAGCTGCCCTGGGGAATTCCTGATTCTACCTGGATTATGTTGGAGAGGCATCCATTAAAGAACCCACGCTGTGTTCTGTTAGACAGGTAACTCTTTATCCACAACATAGCAGGGGGTGTAAAGCCATAACACATACGTTTTACCAGCAGCAGACCACCCTCTGTAGCACCTTGCGGTCGAATGCAGAGCAGTTGCCATACCAGGCGGTGATGCAACTAGTCAGGATGCTCTCAATGGTGCAGCTGTAGAATTTTTTAGGATCTGAGGACCCATGCCAAATCTTTGATCTATCAGTCTCCTGATAGGGTATAGGCGTTGTCGTGCCCTCTTCACGACTGTCTTGGTTTGTTTGGACCATGATAGCTCCACTACAACCCCGTCGATGAGAATGAGGGTGTGCTCGGCTCTCCTTTTCCTGTTGTTTGCGATCATCTCTTTGTCTTTATCACGTTGAGGGAGAGGTTGTTGTCCTGTTACCACACTGCCAGGTCTCTGACCTCCTCCCTATAGGCTGTCTCATCATTGTCGGTGATCAGGCCTACCACCATTGAGTCGGAAAACTTAATGATGGTGTTGGAGTTGTGTTTGGCCATGCAGTCGTGGGTGAACAGGGAGTACAGGAGGGGACTAAGCACACGCTCCTGAGGGGCCACCGTGTTAAGGATCAGCGTGACAGATGTGTTGTTGCCTACCCTTACCACCTGGGGGCGGCCCGTCAGGAAGTCCAGGATCCAGTTGCAGAGGGAGGTGTTTGGTCCCAGGGTCCTTAGCTTAGTGATGAGCTTTGAGGGCACAATGGTGTTGAATGCTGAAATGTAGTCAATGAACAGCATTCTCACGTAGGTGTTCCTATGTCCAGGTGGGAAAGGGCAGTGTGGCGCGCAATACAGATTGTGTCATCTGTGGATCTGTTGGGGCGGTATGCGAATTGGAGTGGGTCTAGGGTTTCTGGGATGATGGTGTTAATGTGAGCCATGACCAGCCATTCAAAGCACTTCATGGCTACAGATGTGAGTGCTACGGGTCGGTAGTCATTTAGGCAGGTCAACTTGGTGTTCTTGGGCACAGGGACTATAATGGTCTGCTTGAAACATGTAGGTATTACAGACTCGGTCAGGGACAGGTTGAAAATGTCACTGAAGATTCTTGACAGTTGGTCAACGCATGCTCTGAGCACACGTCCTGGTAACCGTCTGGCCCTGCGGCCTTGTGAATGTTGACCTGTTTAAAGGTCTTACTCACATTGGCTATGGAGAGCGTGATCACGCAGTCGTCCAGAACAGCTGGTGCTCTCATGCATGCTTCAGTGTTGCTTGCCTCGAAACGCTCATAGAAGTCATTTAGCTTGTCTGGTAGGCTCGTGTCACTGGACAGCTCACAGCTGGACTTCCCTTTGTCGTCCGTAATAATTTGCAAGCCCTGTCACAACCGACGAGCGTAAATCTTAGTCCTGTATTGATGCTTTGCCTGTTTGATTTATCGTCGGAGTGCATAGGGGGATTTCTTATAAGCATCCGGGTTAGAGTCCTGCTCCTTGAAAGCGGCAGCTCTACCTTTTAGCTCAGTGCGAATGTTGCCTGTAATCCATGGCTTCTGGTTGGGGTATGTACGTACAGTCACTGTGGGGACGACGTCATCGATGCACTTATTGATGAAGCGGTGACTGATGTGGTATACTCCTCAATGCCATCGGATGAATCCCAGAACATATTTCAGTCTGTGCTAGCAAAACGGTCCTGTAGATTAGCATCTGCATCATCTGACCACTTCCGTATTGAGCGAGTCACTGGTGCTTCCTGCTTTAGTTTTTGCTTGTAAGCAGGAATCAGGAGGATATAATTATGGTCAGATTTGCCAAATGGAGGGCGAGGGAAAGCTTTGTACGTGTCTCTGTGTGTGGAGTAAACATGGTCCAGAGTTATTTTTTCCTTTGGTTGCACATGTGACATGCTGGTAGAAATGAGGTAAAACGGATGTAAGTTTTCCTGCATTAAAGTCCCCGGCGAGTAGGAGTGCCGCCTCTGGATAAGCATTTTCTTGTTTTCTTATGGCCTTATACAGCTCATTGAGTGTGGTCTTAGTGCCAGCATCGTTTTGTGGTGGTAAATAGACAGCCACGAAAAACATAGATTAAAACTCTCTTGGTAAATAGTGTTGTGTACAGCTTGTCATGAGATACTCTACCTCAGGCGAGCAAAACCTTGAGACTTCTTTAATATCAGATTTCACGCACCAGCTGTTATTGACAAATAGACACAGACCACCACCCCTTGTCTTACCAGAGCTAGCTGTTCTGTCTTGCCGACGCACGGAAAGCCCAGCCAACTGTATATTATCCATGTTGTTCAACCACGACTCGGTGAAACATAATATATTACAGTTTCTAATGTCCCGTTGGTAGGATAGTCTCGAACAGAGCTCATCCATTTTATTCTCAAATGATTGCATGTTGGCCAATAGGACAGATGGTAGAGGTGGGTTACCCACTCGCCGATGAATTCTCACAAGGCACGAGAATCTGCGTCCCCTGTATCCACAACTCATCTACATGCGAATGACGGGGATTTGGGCCTGGTCCGGTGTCAGCAGTAAATCCTTTGCGTCCGACTCACACAACCAGTTCACATACCAGAAAGGGTTTTAAATAATCAACAGCCTCTGCATATTTTGGCTCATGGCCACTTTTTTAACCAACAGAGATGCTAAGAGAGCATGATGCCATAAGTGAAGATCTTACATAAATAGCCACTCCTCCCCCCTTTTTTGGCTATCACATCTGAAAATGTTGAAGTCCGCAATAGCAATGTCCTTATCCATAATCAAATTATTCAGCCAGGTCTCTGAGATAACCAGAACGTCAATAGCTAATCAAAACCACTAGATGGAAGTAGATTACTTTAATATAGTGTGACCAGTGTATTCCTATCATTGCTGTTGCCATCTAGTGGGATTGATTCGGTATTGACACCTGTTTGGTCACCGACACTAACCAGGTTTCCATCCAATGCTTTTGTGCGAGTAAAGTACTGTACATATCGGATAAAAGATGTCATGACAGTTCTGATGGAAACAGGACATTTGTCTGTAAACTTTCCCAATGTCAACAAAGCAAAATACGCTGGGATCTTTTGTGTCTGTAAAATTAATTATGCAAGAAATGTCGGTGGAAACGCTTTTATGCGCAAATATTTATATAGTAACCATCATATCTAAATAAAATTGGAATCACTCTATAACATGTTGTGTCGTCCTCCCACCACGACTAGTTGGGAAAACATGCTGTTTATCAGGCTTCAGATTAAGTAAGTTATGATGAACTTCATAGGGTGGTGAAAGTGCAAGGTGATGAGCTCAATTGATGCTCCTTTCCAATACATACAGAGGGTCTTATTCTGGTGACATGATCATCGATGCTTGGCTGCTGATTGACAAATAGAAATAATCTTGCTCTTTTGTCCATAACAATCTCATCATGTAGGCTGGCCGACCCGCACTCTATTTGCAAGCTGTTGGCTAGAGTGCACTTGCCAATACTAGAGTGGGTACACTCGCCATATAACACAATTTTTTTGGTGAGAAAACCGTCAGTAGAGTTAAAAATTCGATAGAAACCCATTTAACTTGCATTTTTTATTTGGTACATTTCACCGCAAAAAGTATTCACATGAAAATCTGTAGCCAATTGGATGGAAACCTAGCTAGTAACAGATCATTTTTATTGTACTCTAATGCTGCATTCATAACTAGTGGGAAACTCTGAAAATACTACTTGTAAACTGGGAGCAACGAGTTTTGTGCATTTACATGCTTTGAGCTAATTGAGAACGCAGATTGGCTAATGGCAAACAAGCTGCGTCAACCATAAACTAAAAGCACAGCTATTAGGCTCGTGAACAAATTATAGTGTTCAAAAACCATGCAATAGATTGATTTTGATAATGTTTGTTGTTGCATTTAAGTGCCGAAAATGCTGTTACCAAGTTTATTTCCTTAGTAGTTGAGTTCATCATGTGCTAGAAGTCGGATCTCAGGGATGACGAGTTTCCCACTAGTAATTACGAGTTGGACGGGCGTTCAAGTTGATTTTTTCCCTATCATATCCTCGTATTTACGAATTTACAAGATGTTATGAATGCATCTTATCCTCTTAACACTGGAACTCTCCCCTAAAAAGCAAACATGATTAACAATTAACAATATTTTCTTTCATTTTTTTGTGTAATACTGTTTTTTTGTATTCCCCTTGCCAGTACAAGATGAAGATGGATGATCTGAAAGGCAGGACACTGAACCTTTCTGTGTGGCACAATGACTCCAGAGGAAGAAATGTCTTTCTGGGGCAGGTAGACATTGACCTGAAGACCTGGGACTGGGGGCATGAGACCCTTACCTGGTACAACCTACAGCCCAAGGTAAATAGCATTTACTGTATACAAGTTGTGGAAATTATCCAGAAAGAAACACCACAAGGTAGCTTGGTACATTGCCTACCAGGCGTTGAAGTCAATCCCATTTTTAATGCCATCTTTTCAGGTGGATTTTAAATTAAATGAATGACAAAATGCACCATTATTTTCAAAGATGATTATTTTCAGTTAAATCTCAATTCACTTTCTGAATTGCTTGAACAGCCTGCTTAGTTGACCCAACACTGACTTGAGCAGATCTTTGGTAAGGAGGAGTTTCTTGGAAATAAACCACAACACAAATATTATTGCAGATCATGTGTTAAAACCCAGCTGGACACAACCTCTCCCTCCCTTCCCAACATCGGCCCTGATATAGAGATGAAATGCTATGTGCAATAAGAGATGAGCTCATACTTTATTGATCCCCAAGGATAGATTAGTTTGTCGACCTGACACACCCACAATACAAACATAAAATTGTCACAAAACATTAAGAACAACTATTTGATATAATGTATGTTTTGGAAATGCTTTGGAAACAAAAAGCAGTAAAAGCAACACTCCTTTAAAACTTTTGCAAATTATAAATGCCTGTGTGTTGAGTCATCAAGCCACTTGTTTTTATTTGCAGAATCGTGGCGTTCAGGAGTCTCCTGAATATCATGGACTGTTGACAGTAGCACTGAAATATATTCCCCCTGGCTCAACAGGTACTAATATGATATGCCTGTCTCTTTTGTACATGCGATAGTATTATGTTATGATAGAAATATAGTGACAACTAATACATGTTAAACTCACTTTACTGACTCAAAACATAATATATATATTACCTACCTCCGAGGGGCAGGTAGCCTAAACACGCATAGGCAAAGATTTTCAGATTGCAGGAATAAGTTGATGAGTGACAGTGAGGGCTTTGCATAGGCGCTTTGTTGCGTTTTGTTTGCATGTGCGCTTTGTTGCGTTTTATTTGCGGGACTAGAAAAAAATACAGAGGATGGGGAGAGAGATTTTTAATTAGGTTGAGAATAATTTATTAACTTTTTCAATGCTAAGGATTCTATAGGCCTAGTTATCATGTTTCACATTGGATTTATTAGCTACAAAAAGGTAAGAGGTGTTTTGAATTCTGGTGCCACTCTGCACACAAGCTTGTTAGCTTGCTAGCTCAAAGGACATTCAAAGTTCCTCCATAGAAGCTGCTCCTCCTAGGTGTAATTCTGTGGACCTAATTCATATAATGCATTTCATAACACAATGCCCAGCACTTCAAGCGTCCTCCTCAACCCTCTCTTGCTCTCTCCCCACCTGCAAAAATGTAGTCGCATCTTGCACCATAGGATACACATCAATAAATGTTGATTTCACAGGTTAAAAAATAAACAGAAAGGAACAACATAAACCAGTACTTTTTTGGGGTTCAAACCGGTCGAAACAGTGGAACGAAACAAAAAAAAGTGTTTCTGTTCAGAACAAACCGATTGAAAATACTTTAGGTTCCAACCACTGAAAAATACTAGATTAGTCAATAGTCATGTAGTGCATATTGAAAGACGTGGGACACTGAATTAGCTCTCTGATCATCAATATTGGATATTGTGCCTCCTCTTACTGCAGGTGGTGCCAGGCTTAACTCAGGGGAGGTCCATGTGTGGCTGAAGGAGGCCAGAGAGCTGCGTAAGCTAAAGCCTCAGGGTGTCGACTCCTTTGTGAAGTGGTGAGCAGAAGACAGGTTTAATAGAATGACCTTTGAGGCATAACATCCCGAATGTCAGCTTGTGTGCGTTTGTGTTTGTTTGTGTGGCTCTTCATATTTTGTCTCAATTCATACTTTAAATGTAATTTAAAATGTATTTAACCTTTATTTTGACAGGGAGACATGCTGAGACCAATGGCTCTTTTGCAGATTAGCCCTGTAATTACAAAAATATACACATCAATACAATGTGAAAAGCAATAGAGATACAAAACACAATCATAGAAAACAAATACATTCTTCAGGAAAATGTTTCTCAATCAGCCGTCTGAATTGTCCTAGAGGCACCAAATCATCACATTTTAGAGAGTTTTGGAGATTATTCCACATGTAAGGTGCAAAAAAACTAAAATCTGATTGACCTAATAGTAGAAAGCAGATCATTCAATCGACATTCCTACCGGTCCTAGACTATGGCGACATCATCCATATGAATGCAGCTGCCACTTCACTAAAGCCATTAGATGCGGTTAACCATAGTGCACTACGTTTTATTATGGGTGACAGGTTTAGTACACATCACTGCATTCTCTACCAGAAAGTAGGCTGGCCCTCTTTGATGTCACGTAGCTCCATACATTGCTAACTTTTTATTTATAAAGCTATTTTTCAAAAACTCCCACTGTACTCAACATCATTGTTAATCTTTAGACGTACAGTGGGGAAAAAAATTATTTAGTCAGACACCAATTGTGCAAGTTCTCCCACTTAAAAAGATGAGAGGCCTGTAATTTTCATCATAGGTACACGTCAACTATGACAGACAAATTGAGGAAAAAAACTCCAGAAAATCACATTGTAGGATTTTTAATGAATTTATTTGCAAATTATGGTGGAAAATAAGTATTTTGTCAATAACAAAAGTTTCTCAATACTTTATTATTTACCCTTTGTTGGCAATGCCACAGGTCAAACGTTTTCTGTAAGTCTTTCACAAGGTTTTCACACACTGTTGCTAGTATTTTGGCCCATTCCTCCATGCAGATCTCCTCTAGAGCAGTGATGTTTTGGGGCTGTCGCTGGGCAACACAGACTTTCAACTCCCTCCAAAGATTTTCTTTGGGGTTGAGATCTGGAGACTGGCTAGGCCAGTCCAGGACCTTGAAATGCTTCTTACGAAGCCACTCCGGGCGGTGTGTTTGGGATCATTGTCATGCTGAAAGACCCAGCCACGTTAAATCTTCAATGCCCTTGCTGATGGAAGGAGGAATTCACTCAAAATCTTACGATACATGGCCCCATTCATTCTTTCCTTTACACGGATCAGTCGTCCTGGTCCCTTTGCAGAAAAACAGCCCCAAAGCATTATGTTTCCACCCCCATGCTTCACAGTAGGTATAGTGTTCTTTGGATGCAACTCAGCATTCTTTGTCCTCCAAACACGACGAGTTGAGTTTTTACCAAAAAGTCATATTTTGGTTTCATCTGACCATATGACATTCTCCCAATCCTCTTCTGGATCATCTAAATGCACTCTAGCAAACTTCAGACGGGCCTGGACATGTACTGGCTTAAGCAGGGGGACACGTCTGGCACTGCAGGATTTGAGTCCCTGGCGGCGTAGTGTGTTACTGATGGTAGGCTTTGTTACTTTGGTCCCAGCTCTCTGCAGGTCATTCACTAGGTCCCCCCGTGTGGTTCTGGGATTTTTGCTCACCGTTCTTGTGATCATTTTGACCCCACGGGGTGAGATCTTGCGTGGAGCCCCAGATCGAGGGAGATTATCAGTGGTCTTGTATGTCTTCCATTTCCTAATAATTGCTCCCACAGTTGATTACTTCAAACCAAGCTGCTTACCTATTGCAGATTCAGTCTTCCCAGCCTGGTGCAGGTCTACAATTTTGTTTCTGGTGTCCTTTGACAGCTCTTTGGTCTTGGCCATAGTGGAGTTTGGAGTGTGACTGTTTGAGGTTGTGGACAGGTGTCTTTTATACTGATAACAAGTTCAAACAGGTGCCATTAATACAGGTAACGAGTGGAGGACAGAGGAGCCTCTTAAAGTAGAAGTTACAGGTCTGTGAGAGCCAGAAATCTTGCTTGTTTGTAGGTGACCAAATACTTATTTTCCACCATAATTTGCAAATAAATTCATAAAAAATCCTACAATGTGATTTTCTGGAAAAAAAATGCTCAATTTGTCTGTCATAGTTGACATGTACCTATGATGAAAATTACAGGCCTCTCTCATCTTTTTAAGTGGGAGAACTTGCACAATTGGTGGCTGACTAAATACTTTTTTCCCCCACTGTATGAGGGATGGCTAACCCTGGAAATTCCTTCGTTCCCTACAGTTAGTAAGCGAGAGTCATTTTTTTCTCAGCTTCTTAACGAACTCATCAATATGTTCTTCTTTTTATGATATCTTATCTATCCAGATGCACAGATATTTGCAAGCAGGGACACGTTCAAGTGGGCACCATTCAAAGAACATATGCTTAAGTCATTAGCGTCATTTTTATGCGCTATAGAAAACAACACATACTTAGTTTATAATATATAAAAAAACTTGTTTAAGGTCAATAAAGGTTTGATAGCATTTTCTCTGTCAGTTACATGTTGCCTGACACAAGCAAGAAGAGTCGTCAGAAGACGCGGGTGGTGAAGAAGAGCCAAGAGCCTGTGTATAACCACGCCATGGTGTACGACGGATTCCGTGCCGGCGAGGTCAGAGAGGCTTGCTGCGAGCTGACTGTGTGGGACCACAACAAACTCTCCAATCAGTTCCTGGGAGGGGTACGCCTCAGTCTGGGCACAGGTGATTGTTAAACACCATTTTGTCATGATGTGTGCTTTACTCATGCTTGACAAATGTCTGTGATAGTAGTTTTGGCAATTAGTTATAAAATGTAATCAATTTCCTTGGCTGCAGCACTGAACACATAGTTAAAAACTGAAAACATAAAGAATGAGATGCTACCTTAGTTCATCCTTGTTTTCATGCAATGCCTTACTTTTCTGTTTGATTCCAGGACAAAGCTATGGCAAAAAGGTGGACTGGATGGAATCTGTCAATGAGGAAATTCAACTTTGGGAAAAGATGCTATCAAGTCCAGATGGTTGGGTGGAGGGTGAGATCCCTCTTCGTTCTTCTATGACCCCCAGGAAATAGAGTGAATCAGTGCGGGAGCGCAGTGGTATTGCTGCAGTCTAACATGCACATATTTCCATGAGCGACACTTTCCAACTTTCTCCCCTCTTCAACTGTACCCCATAATTTGAAATTCTAACGTTTCTGAATAAAGGAAAACAAATATATAAGGAGGATGAGGTTCGATAAAATGTAATTACTGCTCAGAACCTTTTTCTTGTGATAGAGATTTTTTCTTGGGGTGTAAAGTGTAAAATTAATCAAATTATAAAGAATTAGAATTGCAATGCATGATTTTTCTGTGTATTTTTTAGTCACCAATGCTTTACTTATATCTTGTCATTTCCCAGGGAGTTTGTCTGTATTAAAATTGTCTAAGTACAAAAATAAAGTTATGTTTGTAAAATGGTCACAAGCTTTATTTGTACTGCGTAATACATTATGGTTAAAATCTAGTGCTGACTGACCTAATGTGGGACAAGGACAGAATTGTGCTGAGCTTACACAGAACATTGTGAAACAGAATCTGGGACTAGGATGAATATTTTTGGATGACAGAAAGGATAAAATATCAACTGGATAACAAAGCACAATACCACAAGGATGACGCAAGTGAAGTTTAGTCTAGTGCTGTAGGTTGGTTATCTTTGAATGCAGCAGGTAATCATTATTAAAGTAATTACTTAATGTATTGAGTTTATTTACCAATTCTGGTGTCCATTTGACTAATGGTTTATGTTAAGCACTTAACGCCAAGGTAGTGGTTTCGATCCCCGGGGCCACCAATACACAAAAATGTATGCACGCATGACTGTAAGTCGCTTTGGATAAAAGCGTCTGCTAAATGGCATATTATTATTTATATTATTAACGACCCTTTATGTGCAATCAGTTAAAGCATTACCATGTTTCTCTCACAATACCACAAGGATGACGCAAGTGAAGTTTAGTCTAGTGCTGTAGGTTGGTTATCTTTGAATGCAGCAGGTAATCATTATTAAAGTAATTACTTAATGTATTGAGTTAATTTACCAATTCTGGTGTCCATTTGACTAATGGTTTATGTTAAGATTTGATAAATATTTTCAGCGTTAGTGTATTGGTATATGGCAGTCATCTTTGATTCTTGAACTTTATTTTGTGAATCTGTTTGTGTAAATGAGTTAAATCTCAGTTGGTACACTCAACATTGGCATTCCAAAATACTTCAAAACACATTCACAGGACTTCCGGTTTCTAATTTTCCCAAATAATATATCCACTTTTCACAATGATCAGACCACATAATAGGGCAACATTATGTGATTATACAGATCTATACTAATCATGATATTTCACATTGTTCGTCTGCATAATTTCAATCTAACATGATCAATATGATCGATAGTTATTGCTCTAGTGTCATCTGGTGCCAATGACATACAGTGCATTCGGAAAGTATTCAGACCCCTAAGACTTTATCCACATTTTGCTACGTTACAGCCTTATTCTAAAATGGTTTGGGATGGCAGGTAGCTTAGTGGGTAAGAGCGTTGTGCCAGTAACCGAAAGGTCGCTGGTTCTTATCCCCGAGCCGACTAGGTAAAAAATCTGTCGATGTGCCCTTGAGCAAGGCACTTAACCCTAATTGCTCCTGTAAGTTGCTCTGGATAAGAGCGTCTGCTAAATTACGTAAATGTTTAAATAGTTTATTTTGCTCATCAATCTAAACACAATACCCCATTATGACAAAGCAAAAACATGTTTTTAGAGATTTGAGCAAATGTATTAAAAATAAAAAACTGAAATAGACATTTACATAAGTATTCATAACCTTTACTCAGTACTTTGTTGAAGCACATTTGGCAGCGATTACAGCCTCGAGTCTTCTTGGGTATGATGCTACATGCTTGGCACACCTGTATTTGGGGAGTTTCTCCATTCTCCTCTGCAGATCTTCTCAAGCTCTGTCAGGTTGGATGGGGAGTGTCGCTGCACAGCAATTTTCAGGTCTCTCCAGAGATGTTCGATTGGGTTCAAGTCCGGGCTCTGGCTGGGCCACTCAAGGACATTCAGAGACTTGTCCCGAAGCCACTCCTTTGTCTTGGCTGTGTGCTTAGGGTCGTTGTCCTGTTGGAAGGTGAACCTTCGCCCCAGTCTGAGGTCCTGAGTGCTCTGGAGCAGGTTTTCATCAAGGATCTCTCTGTACTTTGCTCCGTTCATCTTTCCCTAGATCCTGACTAGTCTCCCAGTCCCTGCCGCTGAAAGACATCCCCACAACATGATGCTGCCACCACCATACTTCACCGTAGGGATGGTGCCGGGTTACCTCCAGACGTGACACTTGGCATTCAGGCCAGAGTTCAATCTTGATTTAATCAGACCAGAGAATCTTGTTTCTCATGGTCTGAGTCCTTTAGGTGCCTTTTACTGAGGAGTGGCTTCCGTCTGGCCACTCTACCATAAAGGCCTGATTGGCGGAGTGATGCAGTAAAATAATATATGTATATTATGCATTTTATGTGTTGTGTTGTTTCCTGTTTGGACCCCAGGAAGAGTAGCCACTGCCTCGGCAGCAGCTAATTGGGGATCCTAATAAATACCAAATACTAAATATAGCACATATTCTCAAAATGCATGATGCCACTTTGGAACCAGGAATTAAAAGGTATTGTCATTAAATGCTGGAGGTAATGTCGGGTTGTTCCAAATAGGGGTGCTTGGCAATATGGGTTCTTCCATTTCATGAATTAATGTACGTTTTCCCAAATAGGAATTGAATTGAAAATCATTGATTTGTCTGTATTTTTTCGTTAAAGCCTCGCCCCCAAAATAGTGAATATATTTTAATTACATTTATGGCTTCAATACTCCTCCAAGCACAAGCATAGTCTGCTGCCCATTGCTTAAGAGAACGCTGTTTTGTGGCCCAGTAATACATTTTCATATGAGGTAGTTGAACACCTCCAGCTTTATAAGTGTAAAACATTAAAACTTGACTCTTGAGATCTTTACATTCCAAATAAAATTGGAGAGTAGGGCATTTATTTTCTTAAATACATTGGATGGAATTGAAACTGGTAAGGCTTGGAATAAATACATCAACCTTGGTAATATATTAATTTTGATTATGTTGACCTTACCTAACATAGAAATAGGGAGAGTTCTCCATCTCTGAACATCAGATACAATCTTATCTAGTAAATGAGAGATTTTATAGGCCTCCTCTAAATTGCATGATACCAATACACCCAGGTATTTCATATGTGTCTTTGTCCATTTCCACTGAAATCATAATTAGAAATGTTCTCCCAATTCTCTTTGGATCCTGATACAGCACCATGTGTCCAACAGTTGCAAAATAAATTACAGAGAATGTTTTGGTTCAGATAAATACAGTAAAATGTAATCTGCATACAATGATAGCACATGTTGTTCTCCGCCAATATCTATTCCCCGGATTGAGCCATGGGGTCTGGTTATTGATGCTAGGGATTCCGTGGCTAAAGCAAACAAATAACTGGACAGAGGGCATCCCTGTTTTGTCTCTTTTGATAACTTAAATGGATCAGACATTTTTCATTTGTTCTTATAGCTGCTTTGGGGGATTTATACAATAGCTCAATCCAGGAAATAAATACCAGACCAAAACCTTTTTTTTTTTTAAGACTGCCACCAAATATGGCCAAATATGCCCATTGATTTTATAATCCACATTCAAAAGTGATGTTGGGTGGAAGGATACAAATAACAATGGATCTTTCTTTTTAAGTAGGGTGATTGTAGCCAAACATAGGGAAGTTCAATTTTCTCCAGAACTGCTGTGAGCATAAAAAACATAGCAATTTGGGACGAAAGTGTCTGTAAAATTCCACTGGGAATCCATTATTACCAGGAGATCTAGGGAAATGTTTCTATCCATATGAATTTTCTCTGGTTCACTTATAAATTGGTCAATTGACCATATATAGGAAATTGTCTATCTTTCTTTGAACTTTTGTTTTCGGATTGTGTACAGTTTGTGAGAAAATGTTTTAAAGACTGAGTTAATTTCAGAAGAATCCATTGTTATGCTACCATCTGGAGTTTTAATGCTGTGGATGGTACGTTCCTCCTCCTCTTTCTTAATTTGCTAAGCAAGCATTTTCCCTGCACTTTCATCTTGCTCAACATATTGTAGCCTGGATTTCAGGACAGCAATCTCTGCAGAGCGGGTGTTTATGTTATATTCAAGCTTCAGTGTTCAAGTGTTGAAGGGTGTCAACATTTCTATATAAGCTGTGTTTTCTTTCTAAATCGTGTTTTTCCTGTTCTAATTCTTTATTGTCTTCTTTTTCTTATGTGACGGGTAAGACAGTATACAACCTCTCATATACTGTATACTTTAAGAGCTTCCCTGACAACAGTTAGGCATACTTCATTATCTACATTCATTTCCAAAAACATGTCTACCTGTGTGCTGAGATATGAGGTAAACTCCTTATCTCCAAGTAATATTGTGTTGAATTGCCATGTCTTTGTTATTGGCATAGGAGGTTTAAGTTTAAATGTGAAGGACAATGGGCTATGGTCTGTAATTATTCTAGGAAGGTACATTAAGAAACACAGTCAAATAAAGAAAAGTTTACAATAAAGTCCATTCTTGAATAGAAGTTGTGGACATGAGAGTAATAGGAGTGTTATCTTTCAGTTGGGTGTTTATATCTCCAAAGTTCACATAGACCCATCTCTTCGATGTTCGGATTTAATACCTTACATGCTGACTAGACCGGGCACGCACGTGCATGTTGATTTTGTCCATCCACACCAGAAGCGATCAGGACACGTAAGTTGAAATATCAAAACGAACTCTGAACCAACTATATTAATTTGGGGACAGGTCGAAACGCATGAAACATGCATGGCAATTTAGCTAGCTAGCTTGCTGTTGCTAGCTAATTTGTTCTGGGATATAAACATTGGGTTGTTATTTTACCTGAAATGCACAATGTCCTCTACTCTGACAATTAATCCACATATAAAAGGGTAAACCAAGTTAGTTTCTAGTGATCTCTCCTCCTTCAGTCTTCTTCTTTGGATTTTATGTGGCGGTTGGCAACCAATTTTAAGGTACATTCCCACCACCAACTGGACTGGAGTGTGGACCTCAGTTAATCTTTCAATCCCCCATGTGGGCATATAGTATGCTCCTAAAACCTAATGAGGAGATGGGAGAGGTGGGACTTGCAGCATGTCAAAGCATCAAAAATAGAACCTTGTTACCACGAGCGAGCAGTTCGGATGAAATGATTGAATAACATGTATGTGTAAATTTATTTTGCAACACTCAGCATGTTAGAAAGAGGATATAGTTTAGTTGATGACTCGTCTAAAGTTGTATCCCGCACACAGTTAAAATCCCCCCCGCCCCCCATATACAGTGGGGGAAAAAAGTATTTAGTCAGCCATCAATTGTGCAAGTTATCCCACTTAAAAAGATGAGAGAGGCCTGTAATTTTCATCATAGGTACACGTCAACTATGACAGACAAATTGAGAAAAGAAATCCAGAAAATCACATTGTAGGATTTTTAATGAATTTATTTGCAAATTATGGTGGAAAACAAGTATTTGGTCAATAACAAAAGTTTCTCAATACTTTGTTATATACCCTTTGTTGGCAAGTATAAAGTCATTAATTAACTTTTGGTCGTCTTCATTTGGGCAATAGCAATTCAGTAGAGTGACTTTTTCTTGTGCCAGGTTTCCTTTTACCATTATAAAATGTCAATTTCGGTCTGTAGTCATTTCTGTAGACAAAGGGACATTTCACCCTGGCTCTGCCACGGCATATAGTCATTACTATATTAACACCATCACATTTTTGTCATCATCAACATTTTCAAAAACAGAAGCTAGAACATGCACATTTTCATTTCACTGGTAGAATCGGGAAGTTTCGACTTCCTGTGTATTCGTCTGCTCACAGGGAACCACAAAGTCCAGCATTCTTAGAGAATGCAGATACCACCAGCTAGGTAGCGTACCCACACACTTGGTTGATGGTGTTATTTACTTCGAACGACCAACACAGTAATCTCAGAACTTCTCTAGGCATAAAAAAACAACAACAAAAAAACTTGTTTTTCACTAAGGTTTGTCATCATGCCTACATGGTGTTCTGTCTGGCTGTGCTAATTACAAACATGCGCAAAAATGAGTTATCTTTCATCGTTCTGAAAAAGAAAAGGAGAGCTGCACACTCTAGGAGCTCAGATGCAATAATTTAATAACCGAATAACCAACGTTTCGACAGACAAGCTGTCTTCATCAGGGTATAGTGACAAACACTGCGGGTCACAAATTGATGTAGTGTCAAAGGACACACACAGGTGTCTGTAATCATGGCCGGGTGTGGCCTGATATCATTGGTAAATTCACAGATAAACAGAACAGGTTGAGAACAGGTTGGAACAGGTTGAGAGCTTCAAGTTCCTTGGTGTCCACATCACCAACAAACTATTATGGTCCAAACACACCAAGACAGTCGTGAAGAGGGCACGAAAAAGCCTATTCCCCCTTAGGAGACTGAAAAGATTTGGCATGGGTCCTCAGATCCTCAAAAAGATCTACAGCTGCACCATCGAGAGCATCCTGACTGGTTGCATCACCACCTGGTACGGCAACTGCTCGGCCTCCGACCGCAAGGCACTACAGAGGGTAGCGCATAGGGCCCAGTACATCACTGGGGCCAAGCTTCCTGCCACCCAGGACCTCTATACCAGGCGGTGTCAGAGGAAGGCCCTAAAAATTGTCAAAGACTCCAGCCACCGTAGTCATAGACTGTTCTCTCTGCTACCGCACGGCAAGCGGTACCAGAGCGCCAAGTCTAGGTCCAAAAGGCTTCTTAACAGCTTCTACCCCCAAGCCATAAGACTCCTGAACAGCTAATCATGGCTACCCAGACTATTTGCATTGTCCCCGTCACCCCACCCCCTCTTTTACGCTGCTGCTACTATGTTTATTATCTATGCATAGTCACTTTAACTCTATCCACATGTATATATTACCTCAATTAACTCGACTAACCGGTGCGGGTACCCCCTGTATATAGCCTCCCTACTGTAATTTTATTTTACTGCTGCTCTTTAATTATTTGCTATTTTTATTTTTTACTTATCACTTTTTTTCTTTCTTAAAACTGCATTGTTTGTTAAGGGCTTGTAAGTAAGCATTACACTGTAAGGTCTACACCTGTTGTATTCGGCGCATGTGGCAAATACAATTTTATCTCTGAAGAGACCTGGAAATAGCTGTGCATAAACGCTCCCCATCCAACCTGACAGAGCTTGAGAGGATCTGCAGAGAAGAATGGGAGAAACTCCACAAATACAGGTGTGCCTAGCTTGTAGCATCATACCCAAGAAGACTTGAGGCTATAATCGATGCCAAAGTTGCTTCAACAAAGTACTGAGTAAAGTGTCTGAATACTTATGTAAATGTGATATTTCCGTTTAGTATTTTTAATAAATTAGGAAACATTTCTAAAAATCTGTTTCTGCTTTGCCATAATGGGATATTGTGTGTAGATTTAATCAATTTCAGATGATGGCTGTAACCTAACAAAATTTGGAAAAAAGTCAAGGGGTCTGAATACTTTTTGAAGGCACTGTATTTACCATGTACTTACCTGATATTGTTGTCATTTCCACCTGGTATTCACTAACAAACTAGTTATTTCTGGTACAACTAATACAGTACAATTCATATTGGATCAGTTGTTACTTGGTCATTATTACGTAATTACCATTTTAACACTATTTCTTAGTACATACAAGGGGTCTCATTTATAAAGTTAGCTAAGTTTTGTACTACATTTCAGCACACAATCATCAAAAAATGTAAGGATTGACAATTTATCAAATGTATAAGCATTGTTAAAGGTGTGGGAATCACACAAACATGTTTCATTAATAAATCACAATTTTATACAAAATCCAAATGAATCACTTTTTCACATCAAGTTCGAGGTTAATTAATCAATGTCATGGATTTCAACGTACGCACAATTCCCAATCTAAATCTGTGGGTAAGAACATTTCATAAATGAAGCCCCAGATAAAAAACACACTATAAAGCAAAAGCAAAGCTGCAATTTCACATTTCCTACAATTGATATGTTAAGGGAGAGTGTGCACCTGATATTTAACAGATGTACAATACAGATAGCCAGAGTAAGCATTTCTGATCATACCCCTGTTATCTGGTAAATGGAAGAACCAATACTATCAGCAAGTCCGGGCAGGGGTTAGAGGTCACGGTTCACGGTGGAAGTCCCTCTTCCCGCCTGTCTTGCTGACCAGCTTGACGTCCTTGATGGTGATGTCGTGACTCACCGCCTTGCACATGTCGTAAAGCGTCAAAGCCGCCACCGTGACCGCCGTCAGTGCCTCCATCTCCACGCCGGTGCGGCCCGTGGTGCGGGCAGTCGCCATGACAATGGCTGCAAGTCGGCTGGCGTCGAGGTCGAAGGTGACGGAGATGTGGTCTAAGGGCAGCGGGTGGCAGAGCGGGATGAGGGCGCTGGTCTGCTTGGCAGCCATGATTCCCGCTAGCTGCGCTACAGCTAGCGCGTCGCCCTTAGCTAACTGGTTGTCCCGGAGCAGGCAGAAGGTGGTGAGGCCCAGATGTACGGTAGCTATGGCTGTGGCACTTCGCCGTGTGGGAGACTTGCTGCCCACATCCACCATGGAGGCCCGGCCTTGGGCGTCTGTGTGTGTCAGTTGGGCGGTGGTGGGGTTGTCTGGCTTAGGGTAGTGAGAGGAATTTGTGTCCGCCCCCAAGTGCTCCTGTGTGGGTTGTTTGAGTTTGGCTTGGGGGTCATCTCTGGAGGTTTGTCTGTGGCATGTCCTTTTGCTATGCTGGCCTAGGAGGGGCCCTGTTTTAGTGCTTCTCAGTAGTGTGCAAAGGGAAGGAATCCCGGAGGTCTTTGTAGAGGCATTCTTTATTAAGTTTGGACCCCTGGTAAGTGTGTACCTGAGGCAGTCTGTGTCATTGTGACTCAATGCATTTGTGCGCATGTTAGAATCAGTAGCCTTGGTTTGATAACTGGGGGTTGCCAGTAAGTCATCGATCCCATATTTGCTGAGGGGGGCTACACTAGAGGCAGTGGCACCCCCGTAAAGGCTTATTTTGACAATATGGGACCACTGAGGGATCCTTCCACACTGGTGGGTTCCCGAGCAGCTGACATCAGGCTGCACTGTTGAAACAGTGTAGCCTGAAAGGCACGATACATCCTTACTGGGTTGGGCAACCCCGCTTCTGGAGTGGTACTGTTGGAGGGCCATAGCTGAGGTGAGGACTGAAGGATGTGGGATATAGGAGAGGGGGGGAGAGGACCCCTGGCTGATTCTGGACTTGGGCAGCGACAGAGGCCTTTGAGGTGTGGTGCCTGAGAGACAGGGAGGAAATGAAGATGAAGGTTTAGGAAGGCAACTCTAAAATACAGTCAAACAGCATTGTAATATGGTAATGCATTGTCATTATTATAATTCAATCAGTGTTAGTGATTTTATTTGAAAAGTTACCACTTGATTTAGAGGTCAAAAAGTCCTCTATCCAAGCAGAGGATCAATGTTTCCCATTTTGCATGCCAGAAGAATACGATGTAGCTGAAAACACTACTCATAGAGATGCACATCTCAATGTCCACTTCTTTGACAACATGGGCAGCGCCATTGAGGGCTTTCACCATTTTTAAGTAGTCAATTGGGTGGGACATGCTAATGAGTTAAGTAAGGATAACAGAATTCTATCCAGGTCAGCAGGATGGTTTAGCCAATTAATTATACTCCTGAACATTCCATAACTGCAGGTGGCAGTAAATCACCTACCTTGGCTTTATACCTTTTCAGACATTACACACTCCAGCACAATAGGTTGTGGTATGCAGCTTTTTAGTTAATTTACAAACTTCCAATTTACTCATAGAAGTAAAATAAATGATATTAGTGCTCTAGTACATTTTTATGGGTTCACTTTATCAAATTCAAATCAAAATGGACTGAGGGTACGAGATTAGGAGAGAGAAGGACAAAGACTGGGAGGGAAAGCGAGTGTGTGAATGTTATCTACAACCACACCACCCACTGATGAGGATCATGGTTCTGGAGATATTTTTTAAAGGAAGGAGAGATGAGTCAGGGGATGTCCAACAGAGAGAGAGAAAATGAAAGAGGTAACAATTTCATCTTGTTTGAAATCTAAAAGTGTGCGATCAAAACGTAACGTTATGACTATCTACTGTTCCCTGAAGGAGGGAAACGAGGTATAGGTGTTGTACCTATTTTCCCTCCTCCAGGGAACAGTAGTTATAGTCATAACATTACATTCACTTTCAGTCAGTCAACTTCGGTACAACATAATATGGGGGAATAAAATCACACCCCAAGCCGATCCCAACGGATATTAAATGAAACGGCCCACGGCAGACTACCCAGACTTGACCCCGACAAATGCTGGAGTCCGGGAATTGTGCACATGGCATGCTGCCTAGTGGCTTTCCCCTGTCCCAGTCATAAACACATTGTGGGCTACACTGGGAGCAGTGACATCCAAGCGATAAAACCTCAGAAAGCTACTCAGTGTCCACATCACTAATGAATTAACATGGTCCACACACACCAACACAACCATGAAGAAAGCATGACAACACCTCTTCTCCCTCAAGAGATTGAAGAGATTTGGCATGGGCCCTCAGATCCTCAACAAGTTTTACAGCTGCACCATTTAGAGCATCTCGACTGGCTGCATCACCACTTAGCATGGCAACTGCTTGGCAAGGTGCTAGAGGGTGGTGCGGACGACCCAGTATATCACTGGGGACAATCTCCCTGCCATCCAGGACCTCTAACAGGTGGTGTCAGAGGAAGGCCTGGAAAATTGTAAAAGACCCCAGCCACACAAGACTGTTCAGTCTGCTACCGCATGGCAAGCGGTACTGGAGCGCCAAGTCTGGGACCAAAAGTATCCTGAGCAGCTTCTACCCCCAAGCCATAAGACTGCTGAACAGTTAATTAAATGGCTACCCGGACTATTTGCATATACCCTTTTTTGCACTGAATCTCTTGCAATGGACTCTACCCACACACTCACACATCCAGTGCATTCGGAAAGTATTCAGAGCCCTTGACATTTTCAAATTTTGCTACAGCCTTATTATAAAATGGATGAAGTTATTTTTTTCCCCCTCATCAATCTACACACAGTACCCCATAATGACAAAGCGATAAACAGGTTTAAAAATTTTATTTCATAAAATAAAATAATAAATACCTTATTTACATAAGTATTCAGACACTTTGCTATGAGACTTGAAATTGAGCTCAGGTGAATCCTGTTTCTGTTGATCATCCTTGAGATGTTTCTACAACTTAATTGGAGTCCACCTGTGGTAAATTCAATTGATTGGACATGATTTGGAAAGGCACACACCTGTCTATATAAGGTCCCCCAGTTCACAGAGCAAAAACCAAGCCATGAGGTCGAAGGAATCGGGGGAGAAGGCCCTTGGTCAGGGAGGTGACCAAGAACCCTATGGGTCACTCCGACAGAGCTCAAGAGTTCCTCTGTGGAGATGGGAGAACCTTCCAGAAGGACAACCATCTATGCAGCACTCCACCAATCAGGCCTTTATGGTAGAGTGGCCAGACGGAAGCCACTCCTCAGGAAAAAGGCACACGACAGACTGCTTGGAGCCAAAAGGATCCTAAAGGACTCTCAGATCATGAGAAACAAGATTCTCTGGTCTGATGAAACCAAGACTGAGCTCTTTGGCCTGAATCCCAAGCGTCACGTCTGGAGGAAACCTGGCACAATCCCTACGGTGAAGCATGGTGGTGGGGATGTTTTTCAGCGGCAGGGACTGGGAGACTAGTCAGGATCGAGGGAAAGATGAATGGAGCAAAGTACAGATAGATCATTGATGAAAACCTGCTCCAGAGCGCTCAGGACCTCAGACTGTGGTGAGGTTCACCTTCCAAGTGGACAACGACCCTAAGCACACAGCCAAGACAACGCAGGAGTGTCTTCGGGACAAGTCTCTGAATGTCCTTGAGTTGCCTAGCCAGAGCCCGGACTTGAACATCTCTCGAGAGACCTGAAAATAACTGTGCAGTGACGCTCCCCATCCAACCTGTCAGAGCTTGAGAGGATCTGCCGAGAATGGGAGAAACTCCCTAAATACAGGTGTGCCAAGTTTGTAGCATCATACCAAAGAACACTCAAGGCTGTACTCGCTGCAAAAGGTGCTTCAACAAAGTACTGAGTAAAGGGTCTGAATTCAGGTTCCTGGATACTTTCACAGGATTATAAAACTGCATTGAGACAATGACTTATCAATGACCCAAGTACAGCTCATTAAATCCCTACCATTGTATCACTGAGTTGTCATAATGCTTCAGCAAATGTACATTATCCTAGGGACATTGGAAGACACAATGTAAATAACCTAATTTATGTCCCTCTTACTGCCCGGAATACCTCTGCTGATCCTACAGCTATTAAATGCAGTAATCATATGTCTCTGAACCAGAGTAATAACGTTAGCACTGAGGTGGTGTGCCCTAGTAGGAAGTCCACTGTGTGCAGCTCATCCTGCACTAATAGAAATAACCCAAGTATGTATACCTCTGCTAAGCTCCCAGTAAAGCAAGAAAAATAACCAAGCAAAATAACCAAGCATCCCAGATGATAAAAATAGCAGACGTTAACATATGTAGCTTAAGAAACAAGGTTCATGAAATCAATAATTTGCTAGTAACAAATGACATTGATATTCTGACAATATCTTAAACCAACTTAGATAATACCTTTGATGATACAGTAGTAGCAATACAAGGTTATAACATTTACAGAAAAGACAGAAATGCCAACAGGGGTGGTGTTGAGGTCTATATTCAGAACCACATTCCTGTAAAGTTTATAGAGGATCTCATGTTAAATACTGTTGAAGTAATAGGGCTACAGGTTCACCTGCCTCACCTAAAGCCCATTCTGGTGGGAAGCTGCTATAGACCACCAAGTGCTAACAGTCAGTATCTGGATAACATGTGTGAAATGCTTGATAATGTATGTGATATCAATAGAGAGGTATACTTCCTGGGTGATTTAAATATTGACTGTATTTCATTAGGCTGCCCACTCAAGAGAAAGCTTCAAACTGTAACTAGTGCCTGCAACATGGTTCGGGTTATCATTCAACCTACCAGGGTAGTTACAAACAGTACAGGAATGAAATCAATCAACATGTATTGATCATATCTTTAGTCATGCTGCAGAAATGTATTTGAAAGCAGTATCCAAATCCATCAGATGTAGTGATCACAATATAGGAGCCATATCTAGGAAAACCAAAGGCTAGGCCTAATATGGTGTATAAGAGGTCATACAATACGTTTTGTAGTGATTCCTATGTTGTTGATGGGAATAATATTTGTTGGTCTGTGGTGCGTAATAACGAGCAACAATACGCTGCACTTGACACATTTATGAAATTGCTTATCAAAGTTACTAGTAAGCATGCACCCATTAAGAAAATGACTGTAAAAACAGTTAAATCCCTGTGGATTGATGAGGAATTGAAAAATGGTATGGTTGAGAGGGATGAGGCAAAAGAGATGGCAAATAGATCTGGCTGTACAACTGATTAGCAAACGAACTGCAAATTGAGAAATCATGTGACTAAAATTAATAAAAAGAAGAAGAAACTACACTATGAAACAAAGATAAATGACAAAGAATGATAGTAAAAAGCTTTGGAGCATCTTAAATGAAATATTGGGCAAAAAGGAAAACTCTGCTCCATCATTCATTGAATCAGATGGCTCATTCATCACAAAACCCACTGCTATTGCCAGCTACTTTAATATTTTTTTCATTGGCAAGATTAGCAAACTTAGGCATGACATGCCAGCAACAAACACTGACACTACACATCCAAGTATGTCTGACCAAATTATTAAAGCCAAGCATTGTAATTTTGAATTCCGTAAAGTAAGCGTGGATGAGGTAAAAAAAATATTGTTGTCTATCAACAATGACAAGCCACCCCGGGGGTCTGACAATGCAGATGGAAAATTACTGAGGATAATAGCGGACGATATTGCCACTCCTAATTGCCATATCTTCAATTTAAGCCTACTAGAAAGTGTGTGCCCTCAGGCCTGAAGGGAAGCATAAGTTATTCCCCTACATAAGAATAGTAAAGCCCCCTTAACTGGCTAAAAACAGCCTGTTACCAACCCTTAGTAAACTTTTGGAAAAAACTATTTGGCCAGATACAATGCTATTTTACAGTAAACAAATTGACAACAGACTTTCAGCACGCTTATAGGGAAGGATATTCAACAAGCACAGCACTTACACAAATGATTGATGATTGGCTGAGTGAAATTGATGATAAAAATATTGTGGGGGCTGTTTTGTTAGACTTCAGTGCGGCTTTTGACATTATTGATCATAGTCTGTTGCTGGAAAAACGTATGTGTTATGGCTTTACACCCCCTGCTATATTGTGAATAAAGAGCTACCTGTCTAACAGAACACAGAGGGTGTTCTTTAATGGAAGCCTCTCCAACAAAATCCAGGTAGAATCAGGAATTCCCCAGGGCAGCTGTGTAGGCCCCTTACTTTTTTCAATCTTTACCAATGACATGCCACTGGCTTTGAGTAAAGCCAGTGTGTCTATGTATGCGGATGACTCAACACTATACACGTCAGCTACCACAGCGACTGAAATGACTGCTACACTTAACAAAGAGCTGCAGTTAGTTTCAAAATGGGTGGCAAGGAATAAGTTAGTCCTAAATATGTCTAAAACGTTCACTAAACCCTAAACCTCAACTAAATCTTGTAATGAATAATGTGGAAATTGAGCAAGTAGAGGAGACTAAACTGCTTGGTGTAACCCTGGATTGTAAACTGTCATGGTCAAAACATATTGATACAACAGTAGCTAGGATGGGGAGAAGTCTGTCTGCACTGTACAGTGAGTGAAAAAAGTATTTGATCCCCTGCTGATTTTGTACGTTTGCCCACTTACAAAGAAATTATCAGTCTATAATTTTAATGGTATGTTTATTTGAACAGTGAGAGACAGAATAACAACAAAAAAATCCAGAAAAACGCATGTCAAAAATGTTATAAATTGATTTGCATTTTAATGAGGGAAATAAGTATTTGACCCCCTTTCAATCAGAAAGATTTCTGTCTCCAAGGTGTCTTTTATACAGGTAATGAGCTGAGATTAGGAGCACACTCTTAAAGGGAGTGCTCCTAATCTCAGTTTGATACCTGTAGAAAAGACACCTGTCCACAGAAGCAATCAATCAATCAGATTCCAAACTCTCCACCGTGGCCAAGACCAAAGAGCTCTCCAAGGATGTCAGGGACAAGATTGTAGACCTACACAAGGCTGGAATGGGCTACAAGACCATCGCCAAGCAGCTTGGTGAGAAGGTGTCAACAGTTGGTGCGATTATTCGCAAATGGAAGAAACACAAAATAACTGTCAATCTCCCTCGGCCTGGGGCTCCATGCAAGATCTCACCTCGTGGAATTGCAATGATCATGAGAACGGTGACGAATCAGCCCAGAACTACACGGGAGAATCTTGTCAATGATCTCAAGGCAGCTGCGACCATAGTCTCCAAGAAAACAATTGGTAACACACTACGCCGTGAAGGACTGAAATCCTGCAGCGCCCACAAGGTCCCCCTGCTAAAGAAAGCACATATACAGGCCGGTCTGATGTTTGCCAATGAACATCTGAATGATTCAGAGGAGAACTGGGTGAAAGTGCTGTGGTCAGATGAGACCAAAATCGAGCTATTTGGCATCAACTCAACTCGCTGTGTTTGGAGGAGGAGGAATGCTGCCTATGACCCCAAGAACACCATCCCCACCGTCAAACATGGAGGTGGAAACATTATGCTTTGGGGGTGTTTTTCTGCTAAGGGGACAGGACAACTTCACCGCATCAAAGGGACGATGGACAGGGGCATGTACGGTCAAATCTTGGGTGAGAACATCCTTCCCTCAGTCAAGGCATTGAAAATGGGTCGTGGATGGGTATTCCAGCATTACAATGACCCAAAACACACGGCCAAGGCAACAAAGGAGTGGCTCAAGAAGAAGCACATTAAGGTCCTGGAGTGGCCTAGCCAGTCTCCAGACCTTAATCCCATAGAAAATCTGTGGAGGGAGCTGAAGGTTCGAGTTGCCAAACGTCAGCCTCGAAACCTTAATGACTTGGACAAGATCTGCAAAGAGGAGTGGGACAAAATCCCTCTTGAGATGTGTGCAAACCTGGTGGCCAACTACAAGAAACGTCTGACCTCTGTGATTGCCAACAAAGGTTTTGCCACCAAGTACTAAGTCATGTTTTGCAGAGGGGTCAAATACTTATTTCCCTCATTAAAATGCAAATCAATGAATAACATTTTTGACATGCGTTTTTCTGGATTTTGTTATTCTGTCTCTCACTGTTCAAATAAACCTACCATTCAAATTATAGACTGATCATGTCTTTGTCAGTGGGCAAACGTACAAAATCAGCAGGGGATCAAATACTTTTTTCCCTCACTGTATAAATTGACAATTTTTGGATTGCGTAAACAAGAAAAGTAATTGTGTGATGACGGGGATGCATGGTTGTGTTCCAAACAAAACAACTACAAGGGTATTTGCTTTAGTTCCTCAATGGCACAGCTAGGAGTGCTCAAAAAAGCACCTTATAGTTGAAGACTCTTCTTTGAGTCATAAAAGTACATTGAAATTACTTAGGAACTGTAAAAAATAAGTAAAGAGCTGAGAGATAACAAAGTTAGTCTTAAAAATAACTGTGAGGAATGATGTTGATGAGTGAATTACAAGTGATAATGGTGTCTCTGAGTGTGGCCACTTGGAGACACCAGTTAGTCCTCTCACTGAAACCACTGTAATGGTTTTGTCTTATGTTGCACCTACCCCACATTTGAGGAATATTGTTATGTTACTGAATGCATCCAGAGTATTTTCAGATTTTGTTATCAACAAATGTGGCAAAAAGTACAGTAAATGTAAAATGTACATATAATCAACAGTGTTTGGATTCAGCCTTGTGTCAGGTGAACTGTTGTGTCCTCACCTTTGGGCTAATAATTTCCCCATAATTTCCAAACTGTTCCCTTTCAATTGCTACCATGGTTATGCACATGCATATGCAATGTAAACTACTAAGGTCAGCGCTACCAGAGATGTCTCTTCCTGTGTTGATTCAGACAACCCCTCAGAGGGAATGTGAAGGCTAGATAGTCTCCATTCCATGGATTCACATTGGAAGGGCCGTCGCTTCTACCTACTAGCTCTATGTTACACATTTTAATTGGTGTCAAACAGAGGAGGATTCAAGTGAAAGGGCACATTTGGCCCGAAAGCCTCAGTTTTATCCAAGTTGTGTTTTGAAAGGAAATTTTGAAAGGCACTGACTACAAAGGGAGGGCTTTTACTGACTTGCAGTAGGAGGTTTTTGCTCTTCGAAATAGGAACCTAATCAACATCAATAAATAGTATTTTGGATTTCAAGTTGCGGAAAGCTTCTACAGTACACTGATGGTGCATGAACATATTTGGGTGACATGTAGTAAAATCGTACAATTCAATCCAATTATGTCACAAACATTTCTGTTATACAGATGGTTAAAACATTTATTGGGACTAATTAAATAATGCAAGTGCTGTTATTATGACTCATGAGTCATTTGATCAGGATGTTAAATATTTTGTGTATTACTTGAGGGTTAGACAAATCTTTTATGCATGTTGGCTTTTAGGCTCATTGTGTCTTACATGAGGTGAATAAGGCTAATCCGTTTAATACAGCTCAAAATGTGCATGAAATATTTAATGTTATTTTGTTGTGGACTTTCTTTAATATCTTATCAATAAACCCTACATTGTCCATGGCAAATGTGTTTTGTGTCCCTCACCTCATACTTGATCAATATAAGTATGCGTAGCGCTAATAGTAATTTCACAAAAAGGATTCCAATTCAAGAAAGCTTAAATGAAAGCCAGTCCACAAAAGTAAATCAACTCTATCCCAACACTGAACTTGATGTTGAGTTTTGAATACAGTTGTCAATTACAACAACATACATTTACCTCATCTGGAGATTGAGACATACAGGTAGAACAACTCTCCCACATTATCTATGTCCCCCAGGACAATGATACCAATCAGCCCAACAGGTGAAAGCCCAGTGTACTGTAAGAGGTTTGGCTACGACTTCCTTTTTCTGTGTGCTCTCCTTCTTAAGGCTGTCTAGACCATCTGTCCCTTCCTCCCAGGCAAATACACCACGCCACGCCCACGGACGTTAGTTTCTTCTCTGCAATGAGTCTGGATCGGAGTACCTCCCTGATGATTGGATCGGAGTACCTCTAGACCGCCTGATTGGTCCCAGAAACCAATGGGATGGTCCGGAGCCAAGAAACACGTGGGTAAAGCGCTGTTTAAAAAATGTGTCATTGGCTTTGATACTCTGATTGATTTGAGATTATCCAAACGCTGATTACTTTGCTTTGTACAACACCCCTTATTTTTATGTCACCACAAACGACTAAAATGGTCTCAGACGGAAGTATTATGTAGCGAACGATAGAGCAGCGGAAGAATTCATGTAATTCAGTTTGAGTCGTCAGGCAACTGCATACATGACCAAAGCTAAGCTGTGTACGATTACCGGCAGCTACTATTTATGTAACCCACAGGTCCAACGTTTCCTAACCCACAGGTTCTACCTACCATTCCGCCGGACGATGAACTCAAACTTGGCCGGCACCAGGGAGTCCAGGCTGATGTTGAGCAGGTCCAAACCGACCTCCTTTAGTTCGGGCTGCAGCCTCGCCAGGTTCATACCATTGGTTGTCACAGCGATGGTCTTCAGGCCCTCCAACTTCCTCAGCTCCGCTGGACAGACTGACATAGACAGACAGACAATAGACAAAGTGTTACTACACCGTGACAAACAGCATACAATTCCTGGTTGAATTGAACTCTGCTGACTACAAAGTAAGTGTGTGTGAATGGCACAGCATGCATCTCACAAGACAGGCTTTGGGGGTCATTTGCAAGATCATTAACCACAAAGCCCATTTGTGGTTTTTGGATCCACTACGGAGACTTTAGACAATCCAGGATAAAGTTTCTAGGATCAGCTTCCCCTCCCCCTAGCCTTACCATAAACATTAGTGGGGAAATGCAAAACTGACCCTAGATCAGCACCTACAGGCAACTTCACCCTACACCACTTCAGACACCCTGGGATGACGCAGTAGGCATGAGTGGTCACATCACGGTGCCAATTGGAAAGGTCACACGTCTGATCAGCACATGACCACACTGGTCAGAGGGGCCAGCTCTACCCTGCCCCAACAGGAACCATCCAGAGAGGCCAGCTCGACCCTACAGCACCAGGCCCCATCCAGAGGCCAGCTCGACCCTACAGAACCAGGCCCAATCCAGAGGCCAGCTCGACCCTACAGCACCAGGCCCCATCCAGAGGCCAGCTCGACCCTACAGCACCAGGCCCCATCTAGAGAGGCCAGCTCCACCCTGCACCATCGGACCCCTTCCAGAGTGATAGCACCCCCCCACCCCACTACCTCCCATGCTAACAGGACAGCAAGACAGCTACGCAGAAGTGGCACGAAGAATAGGACACCCTGTTGCAGCCGAGCTAAACCAGATAAGGCATCTGCTGAACATAATTTGCTAAAGAATCCATTAATTCCTCCTTTGTTATTGTCAGAAATAGAATTATTAAGCCTCCCGAGTGTAGCAGCGGACTAAGGCACTGCATCGCAGTGCTAGAGGCGTCACTACAGATCCGTCAGCCGGCCTGCGACCGGGAGACCCATGAGGTGGTGCACAATTGGACCAGCGTCGTCCGGGTTAGGGGAGGGTTTGGCCGGCTGGGATGTCCTTGTCAACATCGCGCTCTAGCAACTTGTGGCGGCCGGGCGCATGCACGCTGACTTCAGGTCGCCAGCTGTACGGTGTTTCCTCCGACACATTGGTGCGGCTGGCTTCCGGGTTAAGCGAGCAGTGTGTCAAGAAGCATCCCATCTGGTTTGCGCTTAGTGGGACTATCATTTGTTTTTCAACAGGACAATGACCCAACACACCTCCAGGCTGTTTAATGGCTATTTGACCAAGAAGGAGAGTGATGGAGTGCAGCATCAGATGACCTGGCTTCCACAATCACCCGATCTCAACCCAATTGAGATGGTTTGGGAAGAGTTGGACCGCGGAGTGAAGGAAAAGCAGCCAACAAGTGCTCAGCATAAGTGGGACCTCCTTCAAGACTGTTGGAAAAGCATTCCAGGTGAAGCTGGTTGAGAGAATGCCAAGAGTGTGCAAAGCTGTCATCTACAATGTAGAAAATAGTAAAAATAAAGGAAAACCCTTGAATGAGTAGGTGTGTCCGAACTTTTGACTGGTAGTAAACACAGGACTGATGGTTGCTGATAATGGGCCTCTGTACGCTTATGTAGATATTCCATTAGAAATCAGCCGTTTCCAGCTACAATAGCCATTTACAACATTAACAATGTCTACACTGTATTTCTGATCAATTTGATGTTATTTTAAATGGACAAAAAAAATTGCTTTTCTTTCGAAAACAAGGACATTTCTAAGGACCCCAAACCTTTGAACGATAGTGGTTATTTTGATTTGTTTAACACTTTTTTGGTTACTACATGATTCCATATGTGTTATTTCATAGTTTTGATGTCTTCACTATTATTATACAATGTAAAAAAATAGTACAAATAAAGAAAAACCCTTGAATGAGTAGGTGTGTCCAAACTTTTGACTGGTACTGTATATAAACAAGATAAATTAGATAAAAAAACAATGGGAAAAGACTTTGGAACATATTATGGGCAGAAAACCCAATTCATCTCCACCGTTCATTGATGTTGATGGGTCATTTATAACAGAACCTTTTGATATAGCCAATCATTTCAAAGACTATTTCACCGGTAAAGTGGGCAAACTGAGAAGTGAAATGACAACATTGAACAGTGAACCATTATTTTTGTGTATTGAAGATCTAATGAAAGAGAGGCTAAAATAAACAGATAATAAGATGATAGTTGGAGCTGTATTGTTAGATTTCAGTGCAGCCTTTGATGCTATTGATCATAATTTGTTATTGAAATAAACTCTTGTTATGGCTTTACATCACATGGTTGGAGAGTTACTTATCCAATAGAACTCCAAAAGTATTATTCAATGGAAGCTTCTCTAACATCAGATATGTACAGTGCGGTATCCCTCAGGGCAGTTGCCTTGGGTGGTTACTCTTCTCTATTTTTACAAATGATTTTCCACGTGTCTTACAAGAAGCTAAAATGACTATGTATGCTGATGATTGCACACTCTACACATCAGCATATACAGCAAGTGTGCTCACAGACTCTTAGCAAGGAGTTATACAGTTAAAATACATCTAACATCAAAAGCATTGTATTTGGTTCAAAGCATTCTCTTAGACCTAAACCTCAACTGGAGTAGTGCATAAAGGTTGTGACCATTGAACAAGTTGAAGAAGCTGAACTCCTTGGAGCAACATTAGATGGTCAGTTATCACGGTCAAGTCATATTGATAAAGTTGTTGTGAAGATGGGGAGAGGTATATCTGTTATAAAAATTATGTTTTGCGTTTTTTACACAAAGATCAACTGTACTAGTTGTTCAGGCTTTGAGTTTGTCAAATATTGATTACTGTCCGGTAATATGGTCAGATGCAGTAAAGAAAGACCTAGCAAAGCTGCAGCTGGCGCAAAGCAGCACGCCTTTCCCTTAACTGCACACACAGAACTAGCATCACCAACATGCATGATAGTCTTTCATGGTTGAGAGTTGAGGTGAAAATGACTACTTCTCTTCTAGTCTTTTTAAGAAACATTTGTGTTGGAAATGCCTAACCACTTTGCATTCACTTCAAAACAGACATACATACCCCACCAGACACGCCACTATAGGTTTCTTCATGGTACCCAAAACAAAAACTATTTGAATGCGGCGCTCAGTTATGTATAGAGCCATGTAATTGTGGAATGCTCTGCTGCTAGAGGTTACTCAGACAAAAAGCAAGTTCAACTTTAAAAAACAGATTTAAAAGAAATAGATTGTATCACTGCGCCTCTCCTCTTTCTAAATATAAAATGTAACTGTACTGTATATAAGAATAGGAATATGTATATACACTGCTCAAAAAAATAAAGGGAACACTAAAATAACACATCCTAGATCTGAATGAATGAAATAATCTTATGAAATACTTTTTTCTTTACATAGTTGAATGTGCTGACAACAAAATCACACAAAAATGATCAATGGAAATCAAATCTATCAATCCATGGAGGTCTGGATTTGGAGTCACCCTCAAAATTAAAGTGGAAAACCACACTACAGGCTGATCCAACTTTGATGTAATGTCCTTAAAACAAGTCAAAATGAGGCTCAGTAGTGTGTGTGGCCTCCACGTGCCTGTATGGCCTCTCTACAACGCCTGGGCATGCTCCTGATGAGTTGAGGGATGATCTCCTGAGCCAACTCCTGGACAGTCTGTGGTGCAACGTGGCGTTGGTGGATGGAGCGAGACATGATGTCCCAGATGTGCTCAATTGGATTCCGGTCTGGGGAACGGGCGGGCCAGTCCATAGCATCAATGCCTTCCTCTTGCAGGAACTGCTGACACACTCCAGCCACATGAGGTCTAGCATTATCTTGCATTAGGAGGAACCCAGGGCCAACCGCACCAGCATATGGTCTCACAAGGGGTCTGAGGATCTCATCTCGGTACCTAATGGCAGTCAGGCTACCTCTGGCGAGCACATGGAGGGCTGTGCGGTCCCCCAAAGAAATGCCACCCCACACCATGACTGACCCACCGCCAAACCGGTCATGCTGGAGGATGTTGCAGGCAGCAGAACATTCTCCACGGCGTCTCCAGACTCTGTCACGTCTGTCACATGTGATCAGTGTGAACCTGCTTTAATCTGTGAAGAGCACAGGGCGCCAGTGGCGAATTTGCCAATCTTGGAGTTCTCTGGCAAATGCCAAACGTCCTGCACGGTGTTGGGCTGTAAGCACAACCCCCACCTGTGGACGTCGGGCCCTCATACCACCCTCATGGAATCTGTTTCTGACCGTTTGAGCAGACACATGCACATTTGTGGCCTGCTGGAGGTCATTTTGCAGGGCTCTGGCAGTGCTCCTCCTGCTCCTCCTTGCACAAAGGCGGAGGTAGCAGTCCTGCTGCTGGGTTGTTGCCCTCCTACGGCCTCCTCCACGTCTCCTGATGTACTGGCCTGTCTCCTGGTAGCGCCTCCATGCTCTGGACACTACGCTGACAGACACAGCAAACCTTCTTGCCACAGCTCGCATTGATGTGCCATCCTGGATGAGCTGCACTACCTGAGCCACTTGTGTGGATTGTAGACTCCGTCTCATGCTACCACTAGAGTGAAAGCACCGCCAGCATTCAAAAGTGACCAAAACATCAGCCAGGAAGCATAGGAACTAGGAACTGAGAAGTGGTCTGTGGTCACCACCTGCAGAACCACTCCTTTATTGGGGGTGTCTTGCTAATTGCCTATAATTTCCACCTGTTGTCTATTCCATTTGCACAACAGCATGTGAAATGTATTGTCAATCAGTGTTGCTTCCTAAGTGGACAGTTTGATTTCACAGAAGTGTGATTGACTTGTAGTTACATTGTGTTGTTTAAGTGTTCCCTTTATTTTTTTGAGCAGTGTATGAAGTGTGTAAATAGTATTTTTGTTGTCCCTTGCTGTCTTTACTATACATAGATAAACATCTTTTAAATTTTAAATTTAATGTAATATCTTATGTTGTTCTTGTCTATTACTGTTCTGTACTTTGTCATGTATTTGTACATTTTATGTGGACCCCAGGATGAGTAGCTGCTGCATGTGCAGTAGCTAATGGGTATCCTCATAAACTAAACTGGTGAGCTGTGTCTACATGGACGCCATCCCAACCAGAACACTTAGAAATAGAAGGAATAGAACCGATGTCCCCTTTCAAGTCAATGATGTTAGAATGGGTGGACTGGTAGC